ATCAGCGTCAACCTGCACTCGATTGGCTCCAAAAGACCACCTGGACAGTATAAGCGTTCGCACAAACACTGATATCTAGGAAATATACTAACTGCGGCCGAACAGCAAACCACGAATATGCCGTGCGATACAGACTTTCGCGCAACATACACTCGCAGACAGCATCTAGATGTGAGCTCTTCAACGTCTCCAGTCCAAAAAGAAGGAACGTGTAGCGTAGCTCTCGAGCTAGCGGATGAGTACTGGACAAATTGTTAATATAGCTTCGAACAGTTGACCTGATGAACGTACCTAAACAACTTGTGCGCTTGCGCAGATCGCAAAACAAGTCTCTGGATGAGGAACATCACAGTCGAGCGACAATATCTAGCTGCTTGCAATCGACTGAATAACATCTGTAGAACTAAGGTATGCGGCAAGAGCAGCCGACGAGCATGAGTCGTTGCTCGATCGATTTCGTCCTTGTCAGTTGGACTGTAATTGATGGGATGGTAGAAAGGATCATCACAGCTGTGGGTTGTCAATCACACGGGAATTTAAAATGCCAAAAATTTGACAAACTTTGATGAGGCCGAGAACACGCCCTTCCGCTCCTTCACAGTCCCGAACCAAGACGTGAGCACTTCGCACATGATGACCACTTCCATGTTAGGGCGCTCCGCGATGACCCACGTCCACGTTTCAATACCCGCAGCGACCGCAGAGGGGGTGAACACCTCAAACGGTAGAGCTACCAGAAAATGTACCAAGGTGTAATCGCACTAGAAATTGTCAGAACGGATGCCAGAAACATATAAAGCTTGGTCTGACCTTCTCCAACGATATAAGAATCGCTGCACAACGGAATAATAGACGCTGCAGATCTTGAACGGTTAAAGAGCTACGTTTATTCCGAATGTCATTCATCGTATCGGCCATCTTGTCCTTGAAAGGCTGGACGCCAGTGCATTGCATCTGAGGAGCTACTTTATCCAGCGAATCTTGATCTTGCAAACGTTAAGGCACCCGGCCATCTATCAGATAGACCAACTTACTTTTGCGAGCCGCAAGTCGCAAACCAGCAACCTCCCCTGAAAAATAACATTTGTTCGCAAATTGGCTGGCAAGAGCGCGTGCACGATCAGACTTCCAGTTTGACAGGCTACACAGAGAAGCTACAATGTAAAATGATCAGAATACTTGTACGTTAATTAAAACCGAGCACCTACAAAGTTGTCGGTGCACAGGACCAAGTGCCTTAGCAAACATTTCGGCAACAGAAGCTCCTAACTCAGTAGCGTCCGCACCAATCAGTGGTTGCGTAGCTGTGAGATATTTCTGTACAGAGGACATGAAGGAAAAGAGCTGCAAATGACAATAACAAAACGAACCTGAAGCGTCGACTGGAGCTTAATGGGAGCCCGGCTGAGTGCGAGTTCAAACCACGTGTTGGCATTGCGCTGCAGCTGTCCAAGGATATCATTTCGTACTTTATAGTCGTCCGTGAGCTGCAACGTGATGCCGGTGCACTCAGAGTGGAATTCGTACACTGGGTTGTACTGCAATTGAATTAAACGTCAGCTATTCGCTTAATAGAATCATGTTTCTGTTACCCTCGTCCGTAAACTCATTCTCGCATGCATGACGGAGAAGAGTAAGGCACTCAAGGATTGCATACACCAGTGGCGGGTCGCACATGAGAGAAGGAAACGACGTGATCAGGTTGAATAGGTATTTTGCAGCGACATCCCGAGCACGAGATATGCGATGAGTGCTGGCTACAAGCAGTTTGCGAAGTTCCTCTGATAGATGGGCCGGTAGTGCCTGTTCCACAGCTTGGGAATTCATCTCTCCCATGCATCCACGCATAACCTGTTGACAATTTAGCTCAGCGCATCATATCTGAAGACGAACATTACCTTGTCAGCTATAGATTCCATGCATACAATAAGATAGCTCTGTCGATTCAGGCTGCCATTCGTGAAGTATGACACTAGGGAATACGGGAGACCAGCAGCAGATCGCATACTCTCGACGTCTTGCATCATCAACAAGAAGATCACCTGTCCCGGGGACAAAGAGCGTATCTCGCTTGTGCGATGTGGAATATGGCGCGTAAGGAACGACCGGTGCTTCGAGATAACCTGTTAAAATCATCAAGTATCGTCCCTTTCCAAACAACGCAGCACTGACAGAATGTGCATATTCATGCCGGATGACAGTGCTATACTCGATTTCGCTCGCTGCATCATGAGCATTCTCGAGCACCAGAGCTGGCGTCTTCGTTGCGATTTTCGCCAGCGCAGGCATGAGCCACGTCATTGCGCCCTTCTCCTCGCCAGATGTGAAGTGGAAGAGGACGCAGAGGAACCACATGTTCCGGAAGAGGCCCGTAAGCTCTTGCGAAGCGGCCAGGTGTGGAGAGTAATCTGGATGGGTAAGAAGCGCTTCGATCGGCAACAACAAAGAGGCCAGCTGCTCGATCATCTCTTCTGTCTGAATCGAATGTTCAGCGCAATATTGCAAAATATGAGCAAACTCACCTTGACATGTCGGTCAGACGTCGCCACGTTCTGGATAGCAACACCTTTGTCTCCGAAGAGAGTGAGCAGCTCAACCAAGTATACGTCATACAAATCTGGTCTTTGGTCCAGTTCCCGTGCAAGCCTCGTCTGGGCGGCCAACACCTGCTATTCATCAGCACGCGCACCATTGACTTATAATTCCATACATACCATGTTATTAGAGAATCTCGGGTCCTCCAGGTTCGTGGCGCGATTGATTAACGAAAATGCATGCGCAACGTCTATAAACGACTCTTCGGGAGCTACGAGCGCAAGATCCACAAGGTTATACGCGATCGCAGCCTCGAGAGTCGGCTCCAAAGTCCGTAAGCGCTGCAACAACATCGAGATCGTGAGCTTTGTGACTTCCTCCTGGCCCGCAGTATGGAACTCGAGTGCAAGGCGTGTGACAACGGAGATGGTCGTGATCCCGATGAGCCGCTTCTCTTCGTCTGAGCGACCATGTAGTCCTGTTTCGTCGCTTTGGAAGGTCACATTATCGTTGGGAGAGGCGATCGAGGAGGCGTAAAGGGGGTTGGAAAGGAGTTGGTTGGAAGAGGATGATTCGGTTATTTCTTTGGAGGTTGCAGCGATGTAATTGAGGAGAGAGTACATGTTGGACATGATGGAGTCGTCACCAGGTGACAGCTGGAAAAGCTTAGGGTGTATTGGAAAAACCGGGTGAGGAAAGACATACCTTGATGCAAAGCGCAAGGCACTTGGCAGCCGCTGTCAGAGGTGGGGGTGCACGCTTCTCGGTGTTAAATGCGAACTCGAATATCGAAAGAGGAGATGTGACGAAGCGGCGGAGATGGATGGCAAAGGACGGAGCGATCTTCGGGAAGCTGTAAAAGATGAGTCAAGGAAGTGCTGCGCGTTTCATAGCCTGACTAACCTTCGCACAAGCACCGTCGTAGCCTTGAGCGCCGATTCCTGGACAAGATTATCCAGGATGGGTGCACTGTCACTTAATAGCTGCGTCAGGCGAGTGTGAAGATTTTCATCTAGCTCTCGAAGCGCAACAGAGCAGACAGATGCTAGTTTCTATTCAAGAATGACAGGTCAGATAACACTTGGTCAATTGACATACAAGAAAAACGTACCAAGCTCTCGGACATGGTCTCCCATGCATAAGTATCGACGGGAGGCTCGGTTTCCATACCCTCAATCTGCTCCAGTAAATCACTAAAGCACTGCAGTGCATCTCTGATGACATTCCTAAGAGCTTTCTCCGTCTCCTCATCATTCTCCAATCCCAAATCCTTCGCAGGACATTTCATGAGGTTCACCCACGCTTTATTCGCTGCAGCCGCTTCGCGCACTTGGCCTTTGTGCACGAGAGGAGCACTCGCGAGGGCTTGTGCGAGCACAGTCCATTCCATCTCCATGACACAGCAAACAGTAAAGTACCCGCTCAGTGGGCGTCCAAATGCGATGTATCGAGAGATGAAGGTGTGGCAGAAGGCGATGGAGGTAGCTTCGGCTTCCTGATTTATGTCAAGTAGGAGACGATTGATTCGCTCAAGAACGGGAGTTGCGACAAGGGACTGGAGGGACTCGGAAAGACGGCGCCATTGAGAAGCGGTCCATGGGTAGAGAGTAGAAGTGATTGCACGGTACAGTCCGTGAACAGAAGGCGTGAGGTGTGTGAGCACATCTATTGCTACTGAAATGTCAGAATGCTTGCGAAAGACAAGTGAAGTCCTTACAGCTAGACTCCTTGAGGTTTTCAACGATGTCGATGACGAAAGTGATAATGGACGTGACAGCTCTGTCTGCGTATTCTGCGTGTGCACCACAGATACGCAGAAGGGCGGAAACGGTAGAGAAGACCAACTGGTCAGGGAGGGCCCACTCTGATGAACGGTCAGGGGACCGACCACAGCATGCGAGAAATGACATACCGTCCCATGAGAGACATCGGTCAAAATCCATACGTGGCACGTCGTGTAGAAGATCCATTAGGACGGGAATGAGGGTATCAATGTGCTTTGCGATATGTTCCTCCGGAAAATTTACGACAAGTTCACCAAAAGCAATGTTACAGTGAGCCCTAGCCTCGGACTGTGCCCTTCTAATAAGTGAACCTACATACATTGAGCGGGCACGTACCATAAATGCACGAGGTTCGAAGTCACCATTGGGTGCCGGCTGGGCGTTGGAGAGGTTACCAATAGTGAGGATATCCTCTTGTGTTTCCGTTTGGAGGGTAGCTAGGTCCGATAAAATTCGTTGTCGGATGTTTAACTCCAGGCTAAATACCATTGTCAACTGAAACACGAACGGGAAGTCGAGTGACGTACCAGTCCATCGTTCTTGTGAAATGCAGTGCTTAATAGAAACGATGATGATGAGTGCGGTTGGGCTAAACGGCAAGTTCCAGAATGAGGTCTATATTTAGCAACCGAACAGTTCAGGCATTCCAGTGGCTGAGCTTATCTGTTGACCATCTATCATTTCTTCCCTCTTGTGTGCCCTCATCGTTTTCATGGAGTTCATCATTCGAAACGTAGATTTTGGAGTGACTGAATACGAGGTCACAAAACAGATCGCAGAGGTTCTGCATGCGTGCCCCGGCCCATTTGTGTCGGATGCCGATGCGCAACAGCGTCTCATCAACTTTAGAGTCACACTCGAAAAGAACGAGTGCGGAGGCGTTCGGAACAAAGGCTTCGGGTCACTTCAGCTGCCCTCTAAGGACGTAGGGCTGAAATTCCGTCGGCTTGTTGACGGCGAAGATGGTGTCACCATCAAGGTCGGCAAAAAGCGTCTGAAATTCATCCCTACAACCAAGCACATCCCAAACAATATGCTAGTCACCCTCGCAAAGGCCCCCTATGTGGACCCTGATATCGCTCAGAAACGGCAGGAGAAGATCGATGCCTTAAGTTCTGATTTTCGAATCGCTTTACTACAAATCGGTATGTTATAATACACCTTTTGCCTGTCGCCTTTGGATCATATGAACTTATTTCATAGGCACATTCTATCGCCCCCAAGGTGCTAGCCCATCAGACCCACGTGCCTTCAGTGTGGAATGGCAGTCCAATCTTCTCGACGGGCTTGGGTGGTTGAACTTCGAATACGAACACAAACTAATCCGTGCGAAGGTTTGGCATATATTTCATTTCAAATATAGGAACCACACCCCGTATTGATCCTATGCTTGGCTAGGTTGGTGATCCGGCGCGAGGCGAATTGTTATACAGCCTTATCGTTACCTTCACCAATATCAACAAAATGGCTGTGGGCTATGACTTTGGTAATCAATGTAAGTATGGCGCCCATAACTTGAAGATATGAATGTAAAATCCCTTCAGACATATGCTTCGATTTGTTCACACCACCGATCGTCGAACGAGAGGACTTTAACAGAACCCTTACCGGAACATACTCTGATAAGAAGAATTATCGCGAACGTGTTGGTGCTATACATCCAGGTCACGCGCAAATTGCTCCGTACGCTCACCACATACGCATCATCCTCTCCGAACGAGGAGATCTGGATAAGTTCCAGCAGTTCTGTAAAATCGCAGAGCTTCGTCCTCCGGTCTCCGGAGTCAGCATCGAAGCTAACTGCCAGGGATTTTTCACGAGCAAAAAACTGGCTTTGGTGCAAAGATGGTTGATATCATTGAGCTCAAACTGGCCTGTAGCGTTTCAGATCGAGGCCCTACTCCGAAATGGTGTTGCAAATACAAAGGAACTCGAGGATTTGCGCCCTAGGATCGATGAGCTGATTCGGCGTCACCGGCCATTTGCTGCAGCCATCATGCGATACTTTGTGAAAAAAGCTGCGGCTCGTCCTTCAGGCCAAACAATTCACAAGTGCTTCGAGCTGGTGGTACAGGAGAAGCTCGGGAATGTCCGGCCCGAGGCGCCTGCTGGCCGCTTTTATTGTCATCGTGTTACAGTCACTCCGACTCGGCTCATTCTCGAAGGGCCCAACATACTGCAATCGAATCGCGTTATTCGTGAGTACGAAGGCTATGAAGGCAACTTCATTCGAGTCGACTTTCGTGACGAGGATCGTCTCCAGTATCGCTGGGATAGGGAAGTAGATGGGGCGAGCTTCGTCAGGCACCGCGTCGGAGGCTTGCTGAAGGATGGTTTTGAGCTTGCGGGAAAACATTTCGATTTCTTAGCATATTCTTCCTCTGCATTGAGGGAGCATGCTGTTTGGTTCGTTAGCTCCTTCCAGCACGACACCAAAGGACTGGTCACCGCGCACACGATAAGAAGTAGCTTAGGAGACTTCGGCGGATGCATCCATTCCCCCTCGAAGTATGCTGCCCGGATGGCTGTGAGTCAGCTGTTTCCGTCAATATATCCTCTAAATAGCCTTTCAGCAAGCCTTTACGGCGACAGATCCATCGGTCAAGATCCACCGCTCGCAGTGGTCGGAAATGCCTGATATCGTCGAAAACGGTGTTATGTTTTCTGACGGTGTCGGCACCGTCAGTGATGAACTTGGTGATTTAATCTGGCAAACTCTCTGCAATGCTCGGCGGGATGGTGGTGCGCATGCAGTGAAACCTTCGGCTGTAAGTGGTTTCACGTTCGAAAGTACTGTACTAAGCACAGCTACAGTACCAAATCAGATTCCTTGGCTTCAAAGGTGTCGTGGCTATTGACAAGCAACTCAAGGGAATCCAACTTTGCCTGCGAGAAAGTATGAACAAGTTCAAGGATCATGGAGAAGAATATGCTATGATAGAGATTGCTCGTCCCGTCGTAAAACCCAACACTCCTCATCTTAACAGGTATCTACAAGTTCCTTATAATTTCAGTTTTATGCTCAAGCGACTTGCACAGACCTTTGGTCACAGTTCTAGAAGACCGAGGTGCCTCAAAAGATACCTTTATGGAGCTGCAGCAAAAGGTTGTTGCGGAAGCACGCACAGCTCACGACTCAGTCAATCTCTTTGCGGCGCTCTTGGAAAGCCACGGATTGTCTCAATCTTTCCGACTGGCATCGACGTTACGGAGACTTAACACCCTCGGTCTAGAGTTGAGCCCTACACATCTTCAACAGAACATTGACACCCCCTTTCTGGCACAATTACGAGCCTGTGCCATCAACCACGTACTGCGAGCAGTCAAACATGATGCACGCATTCCAATTCCTAACAGCTACATGCTGATGGGTGTCACGGATGAGGGGCCTGCCTACGAGAAAAAAGGCCACACGAACGTCTTCAAGCTGCCTCCCGGTAAGATATATGGTATGCCACTCATTTCTGACAGCTCGCTCTACTTGTTTACCTGCCCCCTCAGCGTGTGTTCACAAGCCAGGGGATAATGAGCCCATATGGCTTCATGGGCCTTGTATGGTCTCGAGGAGTCCTGTCATACATCCAGGCGACGGTAAGTACCTGCCTGCGCTACACTGATAGCAAATTAACTCGAGTCTAGTTCAGCAGTCATATGCCATCGGAAAACCTCCGAGTGATAAACTCTGCCTTTTTGGCCATCTGAAGAATGTTGTTGTATTTTCATCCACTGGTAGGTGCACGCGTGTTTGAAAATTTCCGTCTACCTATATCCTCAACCATAGGCGCAACTTGTTTGCCAAACTCGCTCGGCGGTGGCGATCTTGACGGGTAAGGAGAAATGCCACCTCTGCCCTGATCTGAAACTCATAATTTATAGCGATCTCTATGAGATTATACAGCATCCACCCTTGATCCTCCCAGATCATTATGATCCAGCGTCTTATCCTTCGGGGAAACCTTTCACGATCGAACGACCCAGCACAATTGATGACGTGTGTAATTTTGTTGTGGAATATATCAACTCAGATGTTGTGGTACGTCAATTCCGGGTGAGCGTAAGCTGTTCGATAGCTCAAGTGGACTGCAGGGGCTGGTGTCCGACAAGCACATCACTATTGCAGGCAAGTTTTTATTCTACAAGGATTAGACACCCCAACTCACTATGTTTCACCACAGATCAAGCTAGCGTACGTGGTGTCATCAAAGGTGTGCAGAGCTCGAACTCAGATTATTTACAGGACGGAACGTTCAACGAGGCATGCCTGAAGCTTGCTGCCCTTCATAGCCAAGCTGTTGACTATCCAAAGAACGGATGGAAGGTCAACATCGAAGATATTCCTCGCAGCCTCATCCCCTACAAACCTGATTGGCATGCAGCAGAGGTGGAATCTCCCCGACCAACAGATTATTACGAGTCCGACCGGGCCTTGGGCCACCTATATCGCAACATCAAGCTCGACGATATACCCACTTACGTTCCTCAGCAGCTAAAAAAGCCACTGAGTGATGTTATCTCCGTTACACTTCGTCCTTTAGTTGAACGACAGCTAAAGCGTCGTGAGAGACCTTCGACACTCGAGGTCTCAATGAATAGTATATACTCGGCATACATGGACGAACTCATCTACGTTGCAACCTGTCACACACTCTCACGAGTGCCCGGTGCGCGCCTGCTCGAGGAGGAGATCGTCGTCGGAACTATCCTTGCAAAGTGTTCTCAAAAAGGATTTAAAAATGATCGGACATATGCAATGAGAGAATGCATTTCGGTCCTCATTCACGATATTCGAAACAGAATGCTACCGGAGAGTATGAAGAACGCGTCGCTCGACGAAGTGCGGGATGGCTTAGAGAACGGGTGGTCTGCTTGGGCGCTGAGTCACGAGAAGTACAAAGAGAGTCACGAGAATGGAAAAGAGAGTCGCGAGAATGGAAAAGAGGGTTATGGCGCGCAAAGTTTTGGTTTGGTTGCGTTGGGAATCGTGCTGGACTGCCTGGAGCAGTTGCAGGAACTGCCCTCAACATCAGCTTAGGATATCGATATCATTGTACAATGTATAGGCTCAGTTCGTACTTAGAGGAGTACTAGGAAAGATGGCACCGATGAGTTATTAGGTCACATGATCTTTGCCACAGACGCGTCCGAGTCTGATCAAGAAACCACCCAAGTTATTCACTCACTGCCACTATACTATACCAGCTAATCATCGTCGACGTCGACTTTTTGTCCAGCTCCCAGTATCCAAATACTAGAGCGGTGAACGGTAAGAAGGCCTAATAATGGAACACTCACTGCGTTGGCACTAAACCGTCTGTCGTGATACAAGCCCATGCATAGGTTGTAACTGTTTTTGCACCAAGCCCGCTTATCGCGTCCATTATTAGTGAAAGGATAAACTCTATAACTTACGGGTATGCCTTGAGGTACCATTGTGTCTCTTGAATCTTTGACCGCTTGGTCGCGGTAGACAACTAGCATTTGGTTGGTCGTCATTTCTGCTTGCTATGACAATCTACTGAACTTTGCCAAGAAGGATGCCAACTTTGCCAAATAACAAGAAGGTTAATAGTCCTCATTCGTTGGAAGCTAGGGTGAGAACCACGTTCGCGACTACTCGGACAGAAAGCGCCAAACTCGTCGAGGAAGTTGATGCCCATATGTAAGTTGCTCAGCATTCTTCTGCATGATAGACAATACCTCCTCTGCGTTCGAAAGCAATTCGGCACAGGCCACCCTGGCCCGTATAAAGGAGCAGCACGAAACAAATCGCTCTGACTTGTCAGCGCGACTCCAGGCCGATGAAGTAAGTTTCATAGAGAACGGCCGAAGTATTCTCTCTCATTGACTGATCTCCAAGGAGAAGATTTATGCGTTATGTGCAGCGTACTCTCCGTTGTTCGATGATGTCGTTCACCAGCGCATACAACGTGTAGATACGATGAAGGCCATAGGTGAGTCCTAGCGTATTCACAGCGCATATACCCAGGATGATCTTGTGCACAGCCCATGCATCGGACGTGGAAACGCGTAAATCACGAAAGAGGCTGATGGAGAAGGCAAAGACAAGCCTTGATGATGCACGAGAAAAACACAAGGTCCGAGACTGATGCATTCTTTCAAACAACAACGAAACTTAACGCGCCACCGACCCGCAGCTCGCTATGGATGCCTCCGGACTCGTAAAATATTACAAAGCACTTGTCCTTGCGTTGTGAACATGGTTATCCAACGCTTTTCGCTTACATTTTCAGTTTGTGTTCCCTCTTCGCAATTCGCACATGTTTGTGTCATTGCCTTGCATCAATGAATCAAGTTATCTTGTCTTGGTCCATCAACCCATTTCTATAACCAGGTCACTGGGCTCCATAATTTACTGAGCTTGAGACATCAATGACTTAGATTGAATCTCACCAATTCACTGGCAGAACGTTGTAGATGATCGTGCGTGGGGGATGGTTGTAATATCTCGGGCCGAAGATTCAGATATTCGGACATGAACACACGTAGTATCATGTTCCATCGGCGCATAGTTAATACGTCAAGTGCTGATGCATCATCCTAGAGAATGTGGGGTCAACAGAAATGTCAGGCGCATGAAAATGATAACGAACGCGAAGAGTGTGCCAGACAGGCGGGAATGGATATGCGATGACATGAAGAATGTTGACACCTTTCTGTTGAAAGGGTACGTGATCATCTCCGATGTACCCATAATTATATTGACTCCCAGAACCCGTTCGAGGCAAGAAGAAACTGCGAAAGTTCGTAGATGTTTCAGTTCCATCAAGAGCACCAGCATCCTTGAGCCGAGTTTCTGCAGAAACCATGGCATCAAATAACCAAGCTGTGTCGATGAAATAGGATCGTATTGTTGGGTTTGGGGCGCCGAGAAGGTCGAGGAGGATGATGTGCTCTATAGTCGATAACTCCGTCAAACTTGCGTGCCCAAGCAACCGTCGTTTAGAATTAGGTGCTATATAAGTTGTTGACCATTTGCTTGCGAGATGTCTAAACAGAAGTACGCCATTGGTTTAGTGCTGGTATGCTTTCCTCGAGAGAATGGCTGACCTAGCCCCATAAACAGAGTCTGTGTCAGTCCAATCTTTGAAGGCCTCCTCGCCGTCAAAGAACACAAGTTGGAGGGTTGTGTCTGCCACATCTTCATCTTCATCATCATATCCGTCCTCGAGACGTTGTTTACGTTGGTCAAGAAGGGGGTTCAAAGTCTCTGCTAGGTCGAGCATCATTGCGCATGGTGCTGCGGAATCTGTCGCACCTACAAACTGATGGGCTTAGTGTACAATTGCCCGGATGGATAATTGAAAACTCTGCTAAACACCTGATTATATGGGTAGTTGGGGAAAAATTTACTGTCATAGTGCGCAGACAATATGACACGGCGCGAGGCGGTTGGGTCTTTCGTCGCAATGATGTTGGTGAAAGAACGGGGGCCATAGGGAGTGTTGTCGGTAAAGGTGTCTTCTTCAATGTACCAATCCAAAACCTTCAAAGTGGACACGATATATTCACGAACGAGGGTTATGTTGTCACTACCCACTGTTACACTTGTCTCAGTTAACTTGGGAAGTAGAATAGACACATACCAGCGCGCGGTATGAGGATCTTCGAAAGATGAGAAGCGGGATTGTTGGTGTCTACATTTGCGACTGGGTCCGTTGCGGTTGCAAGAGCCAAAATTTGTTCCGAGGTCAACTGGATGAAATCACGTTGCCCGAGCGTCGAGCCTTGTATCGTTAGTGTGCACCACGATACAAACGATAGAAGCAGGCTCAGAAATGAAGACTGGCAGTGTAGCCGAAGTTTCATTGACTGGAAAATGCGAGAGCCTGATGGTGAACGGTTGGATAGATTGATTACCAGCAAAACGAATCCAGGGCCAGTGTCGACTGGGATAGATCGGCGTAGCCCGTGGAACACGAACAAATCGCTTTGGCTATATACTTTCTCCGAGTCTACTTCACGCCAATGGCAATCTTTAGCCTGTGGGTAAGTTTCCTTTCGTCAAGTAATTATTCAAACAAATGCTGAAGCAAGGTGTAAAAGGTCATTAACAAAGCTGGTGGCTTGGTCTACCAGCGCAATTTCGCAGGTTGTTGAGAATGAAAAGTTCAGCCTTGTCCATGACTGAGTCCTTCTCAGATGGCCTCGCTCAGCTCACATCAAACGAGTACTTAGTCCTCGCTGGCACTCTGCATGGTATTCACGCCATTACAAGCCGCTTATCCCCTACTGGTTCAAGCTCAGGTGCACAGGTCATTGAAGGGGAGACGTTTAAGATGACCATCTTGTTGACTGCGACAGGTGCCTGAAGTGACGCGCGTCACAGCTAGTTCCCTTACATTGGTATTTCACAGGAACCAAATTCGTTCTTCTCACATCCTTGGCGGAGGCAACAGCGGATTCGGTTCTTCAGAAAGTGTACGAGGCCTATGCAGACGCTGTCATGAAGAATCCATTTCACACTCCGGAGATGCCAATTCGCAGCGAGGGGTTTGACACACGAATTACGAGCCTTATCGGCACAGGACAACCATGATATTATAAAGCTTCGTATCAAACGTAAGTCCTATGTGTTTTTTCGATGTTGCAAGTCTGATGGCTGGGTGATAGATAGCATTGTCTTTGATACAACATTTGTAACGCTGTCGACTCAAACCACTGATCTCGAGAGTTTCCTACCCTTCAAAGCTTCAATAACTGACATATTGTCCTCGACCATTGAATCGCAAGATTGTCTATAATGTTACAACTTACTACTTCACTAGCTAGTGGATCGATCCCTGTGTTCTCAATTCATGTTATGACTCACGTGATTATCTCACATGCGATACAAATACGCGTCGCGTCTTGCCAACGTTTTGCTTCATCTCCTTCCGTCCCCTGTCATCCAAGTCAAAACCAACGACTCTTTTTTAAAGTTCTGAGACATTCAGACGCACATTAACAGCCATGCAGATGCAACGCACAATAGCGACTACAGAAACTCAGGTATTAACTTTCCACCAGTTGTCGCCAGCCTGGACTTGATTGTTCCTCAGACGATAAGCAACAAGCAAAGTTTGGAGTGTGTACAGACTTTGCTCAAAGCTGGTCTGGGGTGTATAGCATACTTGAGGTGTGCTTACTATAGCCTTCCCATTCTCATCTCACCTGTCAATTTCAGGGGTCTTCTACCGGCCGAGAACTTCGGCGAATGTGAGTATAGTTTACAGACAGCGATCGATGAACACAAACAAAACTAAACGTAGATCGACTTTCGTCTCAAAACAATGGACGAGCCTCCTCTTCATCTGGCTCTTTCTCGTCAGATACTACCGGACTGAAAATCAGTGGTGTCACGATCATGACCCTCAACCGAGGTTTTACTAATGAAGGGGATCGTATAATCGACTACCTGGTGCGCATATATGCATCCATTCTCCATGATAGACGCGCATATATCCATGTTTCTCAGGAGAACGGCATATTTGAGGCCATAGACAAGCAATACCTTCGGAAAGTTATATTCGGCATTTACTTGGTGAGATTAGAGTACTTGGAGTCTCTCTTTTCTGATGTTCAGTATAGGACAGTAAAGATCCTAACAAGTTTGTCAATTTTAGCCTTCGATCATTGCTAGGTTCCCTGACAGGCTACTCGCACAGCATTGTGGAGGCTTACACCTTCAATTTTCACGTGAGTGCCCGAGGCTTTCATATATATACTGTACTAAATGGACGAGGGACGCAAAGTACCACAAGCTGCCTGGAAGTCGCACCGCCATACCCATCATGACTCTTGGAGATCAATTGTCGAAGATGTCTCTTGCGCGACCAGATCCCGTTTCTGAAGCCCTCAAGAAAGGACAGATACCGACTCTTGGGGAGGTTAAAAGGAGTGTTAAGGTGCACTAATCCTCAATTAACTGAAAGCATGTCATTCTCAAGCGCTTTGTTTCAGGCAATGATCAAGTCGCTTATAACTACTATCAATCAGATGGAAAACCTTCCAAGTGCGTGTAAATATCTTTCCTTTGTCGAGTTCGACGGTAACTCTATCGCGCAGAAAACCGTTACGGAAATTTCAAGTTGTTCTTCAACGAAGATGCCCCTGATGACTATCAGCCCCCTCATTTCCAGGCGGCAGATGCCGAAGCCAACAGATGGTTCTTTACTACCCATGGGACTGGTGAAGTACCTGAACGAACGAGTATCGGCCAAGTGAACGCAGGATGGCATGGGTAAGCACCAAGAATTCCCGTTCATTCACTTGGACACATCTTCTTTATTCAGCCTCGACATGAAAGTAGTTTCAGTATCGTCATATCTTCCTTCTATATCAGAAGACAATAATGCGCCATTCGCGGGTATCACGTCTCACACAGCCCCGAGGTTGACTCCAGTTGAAGAGGCAAGAATTAGAGTAGAGGACGCACAGTTGCAGAAGAAAGATGCATTGGAGCGCAACATCGTCTGGAGCGTAGATGAAGACGAGGATGCTGAGGGCGAGATGGTAATTGACGAAGGCATTGTTTTGTCTAGGTTCGGTGGCGACGTAGTCATGGCCCCCGTCGGTATACGCAGCGAAGATGGAGGGGTCCAACCATTTTCTCAAGTCAATGTTACTTCGTCGCGCGCTCATGCCCAGTATGATGGTATGCCGGAGTCGACCCCGATACGTGTCGGAGACTTAGTTTGTCACTCATCAGTTCTTTCTCTTACCTCACTGATGCATCGCGTTAGAACATTACAAAGGCCGCTCATGACATCGAGGAAACACAGCAGATCCCGCCTACTCAGGAGATTGTCATGGGGTCACCGATACCTGCTCCCTCATTGAATAAGGCTCTGTCCTTGCCTGCTTCTGATGTTGCCTCTGCCTCCGCTATCTCTACTGAAGAGGTTGATACTCAGTACCTCCAGGATCTACTTGGAATGGGGAATGGTGTGCCCACTGCGCCCGATTCAGAGATGTTGGGCATGTCATCTATCTAGCGTGTCGTACTGCATCGAGTGATTGATTTATTACAGATATGGAGACGCAGGTCCTGGAGGTGCCGGGACCATCCTGCAATTCAGGTATCACTGGTCCACAGATCCCTCGTCGTAACAAACGTTCCAAGGGCTCCGGGCGGTTGACAGATGAAGGCCAACTTGACTGTGACTGCGGGATATCGGTGCGTACACAGCGAATTGAAAAGAAACACAAGTCAATTCACCCTTTTGGAAGATTGACGATGCTACTCTACTGTGTGAGGGCGGTTGCAACCGTTGGTTCCACGTCTGGTACGCATTTTCGTATCCTGTACAAATGAAGCCCTCTGACACAGACCGGTTGGCTAGGTGCATGGGGTGCGCAATCACCTCCTTTCTGACTGCGTGATATCTCGTTAAATATGACTTAGATATCACGGTGCACGAGATAAGCGTCTCCCTTCTCAATTTATGTGCTTTGATTGTCGTCTCCGCGGCTCCCACGAGTGGGACATTATCGCGGGGAAGATTCATGCTGATATGATCGCCCGATACAAAGACCTAGCCCTCTTCAGGTACGCGGTGGCTTGTTCCTCGGGTCAAAATCACTCACCTTTTTTCAGGAGGGCTATCAAAATTTATGAAGTGTATCAGCCATCCTCGGCGTTACTATTCAGGGAGCACACAGGTCAGTTCAATTTTGATTTTGTCCCTCGTTCCAATTTCATGTATTATCAAAGGGTGCGACACTGCATTAGTTGGTCAGCTTCTGACGAGACTAGAAGAGGAAGGTAGGCGTATGATTAGTATGTGCCAGGTTTTTTCAACGCAAATGCCTTTCTAGGCTTTATTGCGGTTGAAAGCATCGTCTCTGATGAATTAGGCATTGGTGTTACCCGCTCCCACGCGAAAAAGGGCAAGAAAGGCGCGAAAACCAAAAAGCAGAAGGAGCTTCAAAAAACCAAATATGTCTTCCTCTCCAAGGCGAAACGATCCAAGGCCTACGCTGATTACTTCAACCCACTTACCGAGGTCGAGAATCGCCTCATGGGCCTATCTGATACGGTTAGATATTTAAATATTTTCATGTTACGTTGCTAATGCAAGTCAACACTACTAGGCGCGATGTAAATCCAAAGCAGGACAAACCTCAGTGACGTAGGATCATCATTGTCTATGAGACCTAATTGATCATATGCTGACACCCACACATAGTTCGGCTGAAACTGTAGATTCCAACTTACGTCCTGAGGTTACGGCGCGGGCAGGTTCTTCTGATGACGAATCACAAACCCAAGAAGCGACTCAGAATGTCCTCACGCTAGCAGTTGCCCATCAAGCCGAAAAGCGCAAAGCTGCAACGGATTTGGTGCACCGCGGGAAACGGGTCAAAATATCAATCGGCTCAGGCGTTGATCTTTGCGACTGAAACTTTCCATGAAGACGTTTGGCAACGCTGTATTGTGGTCAGTGCTCGATTCATGGAAGAACTGATTATATGTCGATGTGCCGCTCCATGTTTCTCGGAGCTAGTCTTGCTGTGTACTCCCTCCACTCGCTGGGAATTGTAGCATCATTCGATTAAATTTGTCCGCGTTCATTGGTTCCCCGTGCGAGTTTTGCAAGTTGTTAACAGCAGCGCAACGTATTTCGTGCCGCTTGATTTCAGTAATTTTCACATCCGTGCCGTCGTGTCTCCTTCAGACCGTTGCCAAAGGCGCCCGGAAAGTCCAGACAGCCGCAGAATTTCAGCGGTGCTCACTGTCCGACAAAGTTAAGCTTCGAGGGTTCAAAGCAAGTATAACTTCTTCTTTCAAGTTTTGATGCCAAGTCAGTCAGATATAGTTTCAGGGTAAATATGCGGTAGCTTTGAAGTCCAGACGCCGCAGGTTATGCCCTCTGCCTGGATCTTCGATCTATTCGCGCATACCACGGTGAACGGGTCGAAGTCGTATCAGCGTGTGGTCTTCCCCTTCCTATCTCGTTCACGACACCCTAGTTTATTGTTACGTTGAACTCACGGTTGCCCATCTTGTTTTTCGGTGAGGTAATACCGTCTCGGGGAAACTTTGAATCCTGCTGCACCTCTTGTAGGTTAAAGATATAAATTCAACAACTTGGTTTTACTACGAACTTGTCAGACCACGACAAGTGCACACCTTGCCTCAAGTCGCAAGCTATGTACATACTAGACGTCTAATTTCATATTTGGCTCAGCGTTCTGTATGAATAAATCAATAAGGCCTGCCCTAAATTTGATAAGTGATAAATAATACGAAATCTGTCAGCACCCTCTTTTCATCCCCTCACGATTTGGCAATTCGTCGTACTTACTCCAAGTTTACAGTCGACGGTCTGCATCGGGAGGCCCTCGCAGGAGATGAAGTAATGGTGCAAGGCATAGTTTACACCTCCGTATCTCCCTGCTGTCGATTTCACGACTGTGGGGCTCGTTAGTGTGGTGCACATTATAGTTATCGATGCATGTCTAGAACTTTATAAGCTGGCAAATGTGACATCCGTGGGCAATGGTTTCTTACGTTCACAAGTATGGTCTAGCCTGGTCCTTTGATCAGCGCTGTGCGCAGCGCTCGGTTTAGCTACATGGGGTATACAATCCAATCTGTTTCGCTATAATTGATTGCTTATGTGAATGATTCGACGAAGATCAGGAAATACCAGGTACAGCCTGGTACAGCATGCGATACCGTGACCGTGGTTATATTTCGACTGTTCTGAATTTCTAACCCTTTATTTCATTGACGCGATTGCCCGCTTTTTCCTTGAGTAATCTTATCCTTCAATTGTGGTCTCTCGTCCACCACCTACATTATTTGATTCTGTGCGGCTGTGAAGGAGCTCGTCCGATGCCTTACAAGCTATCAGCCACACTTTCAGCTCATTCGTCAGATGTAGGTTCCTCCAATCCAGCAATTCTTGCGGAGGGATTCGTCTGATTGTTACTTTCATAGGTTCGTGCAGTAGCTTCCCCAACAGAAAGTATCATCCTTTCAGCATCGCGAGATTCCACCGCGATCTCCTGGAAACGACCATCGCCAACTGTCCCCTTCACTCCTTCATCTATTCTGCGGGCTGGGTCAAAATTTGTCAATGCTGTACAATATATTTCCCCGTCGCCTGAAGCGCCGCAAGGTAGGCTTGCCAGTGGTTAGCATCGTCTCATGTAGCATTGACCCAAGGTAGGATACGCTGTTGTTGGGGGGCAGGATACGGTCGTCAATATTTTTGCCTTGGGTCCGGCACAGAAAGAGGATCCCGAATATTCGCTGGTGGGACACACCGATAATGTCTGTGCTCTTAATGTTAGCCAATCTGGCACCATCATCTCTGGGTCATGGGACAAGTAAGAATATTCCATTCCTCAGCAAGCGTACTGTTCTAATATTGAATACAACAGAACCGCCAAAGTCTGGAAACAATTCCAGCTAGTGTATGATTTAAAGGGGCATCAACAAGCAGTTTGGGGGGTCCTTGCTATTGATGATGAACAATTTTTGACCGGTGCGTGAGACCATTCACCGTCTGATGGGTCAGTGACGGATCCTTTTTCAATCAGCTTCGGCGGATAAAACCATCAAGTACTGGGTTCAACACAAGATGATGCGGACTTATGAGGGGCATAAGGACGCGGTTCGTGGTTTGACCCTAATACCTGACATAGGCTTTGCCTCATGTTCCAACGATAGGTAAGTTACTCGCTATTTTTGGACGAAATGGGGTGGTTGATTGGGACTAGTGAGATTAAGGTGTGGACAATGCAGGGTGATGTGGTTTACACGCTATCTGGACACACCTCGTTTGTGTACAGTCTGTCCGTTCTTCCGAATGGAGGAATAGTATCGGGCGGCGAAGATCGCTCTGTGAGGGTGTGGCGAGGTGCGTCATTGAACTGCGTCCAACCCCATGGCATCCACTCACAAATATCAGACGGTGAATGTGTGCAAATGATTGTTCATCCAGCGATATCTGTTTGGGCTGTATCTACGATGCCCAACGGAGATATTGTCAGTGGCTGTAGCGACGGTATTGTTCGAGTGTTTAGCGAATCTCAAGATCGTTGGGCCAGCGCAGTGGAGCTGAAGGCACTCGAAGATCATATCGCAAGCCAGGCTCTTCCGTCGCAGCAAGTGGGCGATGTCAAGAAAAGTGATCTTCCTGGTCCAGATGCATTGCTCCATCCAGGTTGGCGGTCACTACTCACATGGATTTCGTGGGGTTGAATTAAAATTGCGTAGGTAAGAAACCTGGAGAAGTGAAAATGATAAAAAATGGTGACCTTGTTGAGGCGCATCAGGTGAGCACTTATGAATCGGCGAGATGATCATCTAAGCTAGTGTAGTGGGATAGTGCAACGTCAAACTGGCAGAAGATTGGCGATGTTGTGGACGCCGTCGGCTCTGGAAGGAAGCAGCTTTTTAATGGCAAGGAATATGACTACGTGTTTGACGTCGATGTGCAGGAAGGCGCACCTCCATTGAAACTCCCATTCAACGTGTCCGGCAAGTATTTCATACTCTCGTGCTGTGGACATAAGTTGATGTTTGTTTTCATTGCAGAGAATCCATATGTGGCTGCTCAACGCTTTCTGGAACAGAATGATTTGTCGACGAACTACATCGACGAAGTTGTCAAGTTCATAGAAAAGAATACCTCGGGAGTCAATTTGGGCGCTAGCAATGAATACGTTGACCCGTATACCGGTAAGCATTGATGTTTAGTAGTACGACATGTACTAGATTGCCATCAGGAGCATCAAGATATCAGGCTGCCACTACCTCAGCAGTGTCAGCCCCGTCTACGGCTTATATGGATCCTTTTACGGGTGCAGCTCGGTACAGTGGCGCTCCTGTCCCTACACCTCCAGTTCCTTCGGTGTCACCTTCAGCTCCGAAAATCATACCCTATGTAAGATTTTTCTAGACAGTGATAGTTGAGCTCAGTACTAATTTCTGCAGGCCAAGTTTGTCTCTTTCAAACAAGCCAATGTATCAGCGATGCAAGCAAAGCTGTACCAATTTGACGAAGCACTGCGCAACGAAATTGTACGCACGCGATTCAGCTGCATTGAGCAACCTTCTGAACTGAGACATGCCAGTCCACCGCAACCCTTGCAATGTACCCCGAAGAGTTGGAGATCATCGAAGAAGCCTTCACTTATCTTTCCCAAATCACTTCGACAACTTCCCAATCCTCTCTTCCACCCCTCAGTGGCACTCACGCAGACGCTATCATACAGATTCTAGAGCGATGGCCGGCGTCCCAGAGATTCCCTAGTAAGCATTCCATCATGCCGATTTCATCATTTTATTAACTACTCTAAGTGATGGACCTAAGCAGATTAGTAGCTGCATATTGCGCAGATGCTTCTGCAGTTCCTGGTGGACGAGAACAATTTCTCGTATCCTTGTTCAAGGCATCTGATTGGACGGAAGTCCGATTACATGGGAAGGCTATGTCGAAGGCTCAAGAAACGAATATTTTGTTACTATTTCGCACGGTAGCTAATTGTTTTCAAGAGGGAAGTCCTGTGGAAGATGGGCAATGGGTCGCGCAGGCGGGTGACTTCATTTTTCGATGAAAGTGGTGGTTCTCACAGGAAGCAGGTTTTCGAAGCGCTCAGTCATACACCTTACGAACTTCTGACGAAGGTTCAGCGTGTGGCTTTGGCAACCATCCTTTTCAAGTATGACTTCATTGTACCGCATCAGGGAAAAAAAAAACTAAATGTCGAAACAGTTTCTCTTGTGCCTACCTGACAACGTCTGTCGCTAGAGACGTGGTAAACCAACACATTGGATTAGTCCTTCAGGTACTTATCAGAAGCATGTTCTCGTCCAACAACTAAGCGACTCCTAGTTGCTACGTTCAAATACAGATGATGCAGAGGTTACCTACCGCACCCTGGTTGCTTTGGGGAACGTGGTAAGCGTCCTTCCATTTCGTATCAAGATTGTTTACTCATCGATCAAGGTTTATGCCGGGAACGTGCGCGGCATTTCACTAGATTCTGCACGATCTGCAGAATTGCAATCAGCAATGTCAGCTCTCCCGACATTCCCTGACGATAGAATCAGGAATGTGGTCAGCGAGATTGAGGCACTGCTTTGATGAACTCGCTTTTCTTGGGCGTGCTTGACGGATACGTTATCTACAAATACACCTCCTCGCGTGACTTAGGGGTCTAGACATCGCGGCATGGATTGAAATGGATAACTGATTTTCGGGGCGGATTGTGGTGGTTCATGGACTGAATAAATGATGTCCAGTGAACTTTTGTCTCGATTGTACAAAGGTAGTCAACTAATCAGCAGTGTTAAAGTGACCAGACCAGACCTAATAATAGCTCGGTCAGTTCCTCATAAGCTCCATGACTATCCTTGCTCGGATGTTTGTTGTGAGACACGGAGAGACGGACTCAAATCGCAACAGAATCGTACAGGGTCAGCTAGATACACCGCTCAATGCCACTGGTCTTGCACAAGCTGCGATGACTGCAGAGGCGCTCAAATCTGTCTCCTTCGACAAAGCTTTTACGAGTGATCTCCAGCGAGCTTCTAAGGTGAGACCAAACTTTGAAACGATGTAATACTTAATAACTCATATGTCATAGACTGCAGAGAGGATTCTCCAGTGCCACACTGACATCGAATTGGTCCAAGACAGCGCGTTGCGAGAAAGGGTGAGGGTCGAATTTAACTTCGAACTGTTGAAAAGTTGGTCATTTATTGAACAGTTTATGGGCGAGATGCAAGGCAAGAAGGGGCCAGTCGACATGACAGGATTGAGTGACTTGTCCTCGATAGAAACGGACGACGCTTTTGTCCAACGATGCATCACTTGGTATAATCGGGTGATAGTACCGAACATCTCCGTCACCAAACCTGACGTCTCAGAGGGCCAATGTCGGAACATACTCGTATCATCGCACGGGGCGTTTATAGCTACGCTCTTTCACATCATGATCTCCACTAACCATGTTACGTGTCCCGCAGAGTTGAAGCTTAGAGGCCTTCCTACATTAGGCAATGCCAGCATATCCATAGTGGAATACAGGACGGTTCTAAGAGGGAAGCATAGAGAGGTGGAAGCTGACATATTGAAGTACGGGGATATTTCCCACTTGTGTGGACTGCGTGTCATGGAAGAAAATGTAGATGTAGAAATCGATCAATCGTAGTTGACGCCTCTGCCAATTGAACACCCATTTTGTTACCACCGCGCGCATTGTCAGCGACAATAACATTGAGATGGAAAGATCCCGCTATCAAGACAAAGTCGCAAGATCAACGGTAGAGCGAACAGAAATTTGATACACACTCGACGTCCAACACACTTAGTAATTCCACCTCATGTCTTTCTCTGCTGCTTGTCCTCTTTCTCGCCTTGATTTTTTGACGTATATGTTTTAATTATGGTGTCCAGAAGCTCAGGTCTAATCATATCTCTGTCCTTGAAGATATGTTCACCCCAGTGATCAGTTCAGTCGCTAATGTCAGTGTTATTGTCGCAATAGCCCAGGTTGGACTTTGGCAGGTTGATATCAAGAAAGCCACTGTCTTCCAGGACACCTGAGCTGTATCGGTGGTATTGAACACTTCAGCTTACACGAAGACAAGTGAATGTGGAACACAGGCTAAAGTTTCAGGGTCTTGTGAAGTCGGCGAACCAAGGCAAGGGAGTCGTGGATTTCTCACCAACACTTCTAGGCTGGCCACGTACTGCCACGTAGTGTTCTTAGCAGCGGTTGTATGTTCCACGTGCCGATCCCGACGGCTCGCTTCCCACGCGGAGTATGCCAGTGAGTCGATGACTAATGTTAAACTCACCTGCCTAGATAACGTTGCTTGGGCGACAGAATAGTGAGTTGTCGATGTTTGTCGATGGTGAACCAATAACTTAGGCCCCGCTCAGCAAAAATGTCATGCATGCGGCTGCATTGCAGCATGACGCCTTCTACTGCCAAGTTCCAACATCATGATGTCGGGTACATACGTCGCTTCAAACATGACGATCCACGATTGCAACTTTCACCCAATGTACAGCCATGGGATGCTGCCAGGCTCATTAGCTACTCGACCAGCCATTCATGCAGAAGGAGCGCAGATATCTTACTCTCCGATAGGTTGCAAATCAACGTATTTGAATCTGTTTGTTTGCCTTATTCTCGATGATTAAAAACGAGCCCCCGGCTCGGATCTTGCAGTACCGTGTGCTTTCACGACCGTGCTTTAAGGCGACACTGCGCAACAGGAAAAAAAAAGACTCCTGTCGCCATCATCATCCTTGATTTCAGTATTCTCACACTCGACTATTCGGCCTTTTTTCGTCCACACAACCACTTTCATACCGTTTTCTTCTTCTGCTCCTTTGGCAAGCACAACGTTCTGACTTGATCTGCATTGCTTGTGGGACTGTTTGTCAGTTCATGAAGTGAAGTAGATTGGTAGGTGAAAATACTAACAACGGTAGCACTACCTCAAAGAATCTAAATCTATAGATATAAATTATATTACTGACCGGCGGAGTGGAAAGGGCGGTCTACATCGACGACCTCACCAACGTACGTGGGCCTACTCCGTAGTCTACTTTGACCAGCAATTCATCCCGTTTACCTGTCAGGTCATTCACATCGCTAAATCCACACAAACCCATCGTAATGTGCAAATCACAGATGCTTTGCATCAAAATTTGCTCTACCCCCGCTTGGCCGGCTATCGCAAGCCCATAAACAATCGGTCGGGCAACTAAAGAAAATTTATAAGATGGGAACAAAAAGGACGATGAATGACACACTTAAAACACCCTGTGCTCCGATTGCAAGCGCCTTGATTATGTCGCTTCCTGTCCGAATTCCAGAATCGAATAGGACAGTTAGTCTGCCCGACCTTTGCGCATCAAGAACTTTCTGTGAGCGCATGATCATGTCGAGCGCATCCAGTGAGCCTATTGCGCCATCTATCTGACGACCCCCTAAAAATCCCAATTCAGCACTATGGCGAACAAACAGAAAATGTCGATAGCGATACATACCGTGATTAGAGACGACAATCCCGTCGATGCCCATGTCGATCGCCTTCTCCGCGTCCTGGTGAGACTGTCAGCGATAGCTCGTAACAACTCCGGGTGAGCGCACGTTGACGGCTTGTATTCCCTTGAGCACGATGGGACCATCCCAGTTGTCCTTGACGAATTGAAGGTCGTCCCATGTTCTAAAAATCCCAGATCCTGTCTCGGCAAGCCACTGACTCGCAAGAAATATCGATTGTTTCGTTTCTTCGTCACCTGCTGCTGCTTTCTTTCTGATGTCTTCCTGATCAAATGGAAATTTTGGACGCTCATGTCGGGCAGCGAGTCCATGGCGTTTCATGAAGACTGGGTCCGCCATACCCTGTTGGACGCCGAATCCATGTCCCGCAGGGCTGTATCCGATGCGATGGTCATGTGATCGCCATCCGATAATCATCGTGTCAACCGTGATAACGAGAGCAGTATACCCATTTTCCTTCGCGCGTTTGAGAACGGACAATGCCACATCGGAAGAACGAGGCCTGTTATATAGTAAGGTCTCGCCATATGACACGAGATGGCACTCACCAGTAAAACTGATACCATCGTTGACCATTCGGCCCATTGGCTTCCGCTATATCTTCAAGGGATCGTGACGAAGAGGAACTTACGATCATCGGTACACCGACTACCGCAGCTGCACGAGCTGTTGCAAGCTCTCCATCGGCATGCACCAGACCTTGTTTTCCGACTGGTCCTACGAATATCGGTGAAGAGACTTTCATACCCAAAATTGTCGTCTGACGGAAGGGATTAGGCAGCTCTTAGTAACTATCATTTCCAATGCGCTTACCTCAACATTGCGCAATGTGACATTTTTTAACATGCGCGGGACGAGCTTCCACCTTTCAAATGCCTTCCTATTAGCATCGTCGGTCGAACAGGTACCTGCACTCTTCAGCGCATACAGGTATGCGGCTGTTAAACTCGTTCAGGGTCAGCTCTACCATCCGAACGCTGCAGCATACTAGAATTGTCCTTCATAACCTCGCGGGCTTTATCCTCGATTTCCTGGACATCGACCGTGCCGAGCACTGGCCCCTTGCCCGAGCTATAAATCTGCGACAACCAAGATATCCATTTGTTAGGTGGTGGAGGCTGAGCTACCATAGATATTGCTGGTTTGTAGCTGTGAGTTCTAGGTGGTGGGGGCTGGGCTTCCATCGATATTGCTGGTTTGCAACTGTGAGTTCAACTTGCTGCTAACAAAAGTTATTGCAGGCTACATATATTCAAGTCTGACTGCGTGGCTTGCTATCTCCGACGAAAACGGCTCAAATGTCTCAGCAACCCCAGGCCTTTGGCGTGCACTAGCTCATCACGGATCATGATTCATAAAGATATTCGAAATCAAATATTCAGACATCCGGATTGGGGTTTAAGAGCCAAAAATCTCATAGGTCTGTCTGTCATAGTCGAGTCCTGTCGAACCCGTTACATCTTGCCGGTCTCTTTGCAACTATCGGGAAGCAGCAAAAATGCACCCCCAAGTCAGACTCAAGACTATCTTCGCCGGACTTGGGCTTGCTGGTGCCACAATTCAAGGCATCCCAAAACATCTGGACTATCATTCCAGCGGATTGCCAGCAGAAGAGGTTACTCTGTTGGAGTCATTGGACTGTGTTTCATTCACGTTTTGGGCGACAGATTGTGATCAGGCGTGGCCTGCTTCATGACAATTTGTAACTCTGGTTTGACGCGATTACGATAAGCTTGTCGTGCACCCAAATGACAATTTGGCACGTCCTTTCATTCTCGTAGCTCGTTTGCGTCCCAAGCCATTCGTTTGCCAGGTGTGCATCCAAAATCTAACGGAGTGAGAACGATTTCTCATGCACCGTGGCGCCTGAGCACTCGCGTGACGCACCGAAAGGTACGCAACAACTGTGCAATTGTGGTGCATATACATTAATACGTAATGAAGCTATCTCTCTGCAGATTCAATCTACCGGTATTATGATCTATCAGTCCTTCTACAGTTACTTGGATCCGTATTATGTTATTAGTCAGGACTCTGAGGCCCGCTATCTTGCACAAGGAGAGCGTCCGAGTCAGATAAGCTACGGCCCGACTTCAGAGCATACTCTGGTGCTAAAGACAATTTTAATAACATAGAATAAGCCGAGACATCTGATCGTTGCACGCAATTTCGAGAGGCATGGTATTCATTCCAAAAGGAGGTGCGGGTACACGATGTCTGTACTTTCCTCGTTGACTCAAACAAGCACAGCGTACCACAATGACTGTTCACGCGCTCCAACGCAGTAAGAAATACAGGGTGAGGTATATATATATTATAGAGCAACTTAAGACTGTCACTCTTCGAAAAGAGGAAGGACGAAAAAGATCCTGTATTTGTATTTGTGTCCGAGCGACCGAAGGTCCATATTATCTGCGACTGGTATCAGTATCTGTAAATGTACTTAATGATTGTTTGTTGAACAACCAAAATCCGAAATAAGATTTACTAAACTTCGCATGGTCAGAAGTCGGCAGCGCCGACACCTAGTTTCTAACACGATGTCTTTTATGCAAAGGATATAGCGGTCATGCTTCATGCGTGAAATGGTACCTTGCACTACGACGTGCTTAAGCCTTACAGACAGAAGGCCCTGTGTCACGGTTTTGGGCAGGCGAGGCTGATCTCGCGGATAATAGTAACGAACATGAATGTTCTGCTGAGGAGAAAAACATATTGAGAGACGACCATGTGATCTTGTTCCAATTGCAGTTAAAGGGTCTCTCGAGTGACTTTTGAGGATAGGCAAAGCACGGTACAGCATAATAGAGCACATCATGAATATGAAGAGCTCGATTCGGATAAACGATAAACGATTTTCAATATTGGCTAACTACGCTATGAACACAATGAGTTCATTATTATGTAATTATCAACGTGAGCCGCTGGTTGGACGTCGACACATGGCAGTAGATCTTCGATCAATCTGCTTCTTTCTTCAGCTTTGTTCTCGTTGGGAACAATTTTGATCTCGCGCGAAATTCACATATGCTCCTTGCCATGGTTCGCTGAGTCGGACAAGACCCTGAAGCCCTGAGACTGTGTTGTACGGTACCAACTGGAGGTAAGCTTCATTGTCAATCAATGCAGCAATGAACTACAATGCTGTCAAAGGTAAGTTATACTCGTTATCACATGAGGTTCCACTTAGTTTCTGCAACTCTGGCATTTCAGACCGTCTCTTTCTCCGTCGAAAAAGAACCTTATGATGACATGATGATTTATCCGGGCGCCGTTGCTATGCCCTTCGAGGTCCTGCCGCATGTGGACATGCTGATCCACTACTGTTTGGCAGCCTCTGATAGTTGCCACAGAAGGCATTTTTCGCCCGTTGTTCAGAGAATTTGAGGTCTGAAAAACATTGAAAAATGTTGGTTGACTGTGATAACCCTATTGTTCGCGCGCTGGCCAGCAAATTTGCAGCACGCCACGAGGAACGACAAATAAAAGCGGCTAAAAAATTCCTCGTCAGGTCTATTGATATAAAGATAGCTGTATTAATATGTCGAGTTTCACTCGCTGTGCGTCATCCCGGTCCCCGGAACAATATGGCGCATCAGAATAGAAATATGAAGTAAAAGTATGACAGAATAGAAAGGACTAGGGTGCACTCGCCCTGATCTGCGTATCGTTTTATGCGGTAGAGTTGGTGCGCAGGCTGGTGCCGATTAAGCAGCAAGTGATGTCCCGCAGATTCCCACTGCCACGAGAACCGAGGTATCACCTACAACACAGGTCGGAGTGAAGGTCGCCTGGAGCACGAAATATTGAGTGGCTAATAGTGTAGCGCAGCAGATATATCAAGATTTCGCTGGAGGTTCAGTAGGGGGAACACCCAATTCAGGGAAGTCATTGGGTCTTGCAATTCTTTTGGGTTCCCAGTCTTGCTCTCCAGCAGCACTTAGTTTCTAATACGTTCATACTAATAAGACCTTGAGAGACTTGGTTCACGAAAACTCACATAGTATTCCTCCCTAATGTCAAACTTTTTCTTCTTGTGATCGAGACCTAGAGCTTGCTCGTTGCTGATCTATGAGACATTAAGTACATGATAGTGTTCCGCACGAGGAAGTCAGACCCGCTTGACTTTCTGATCCTGTAAGTCATATCGGGTTTGCGTGAAAGTCTGAAGACCAAACGAGGCGCCAACTATGATGAGAAGAAATGGGATACCGAGCAGGGCAGGATGCCGCTTCAACCTTGACTGAAGCGGTGATGGGTTGATGGGATTTGAGGAAAACGGCATAAGATATTACAGGCTGGAGCGCGAAAGTTCAGTTGCAACTGCAATTGCTGGCGTTGACACTGACAAGCCTGCAACAGAGCCGAAGGCCCGAAGCTCTGACGTCGACTGCCTTTTCCGGATGTGACTCAGATGTGTACTTATCCGAAGATGCCCGATAGCAGTCATATCAACCGTTATCTCATTTCTTTTCCACATCGCAGCTTCTGCCAACTGGCTCAATCCGTATCACAGAAGCTCCTCTGTCCATGAGCGGTATGTCAGTCGTTTCAGCACAATCGATCTTTGATTACCGACCCTCTCGTAGTCACCGTCGTTCTTGGTTCACAATGGGGAGATGAAGGCAAAGGCAAGCTAGTCGATATCCTATCGGCTGACTTCGACGTCTGCGCGCGATGCGCAGGCGGTAATAATGCCGGGCACACAATCGTTGTGCCTGTTGGACCGGAGAAAGTGAAGACTACCTTTGCTTTCCATCTTCTCCCAAGCGGTTCGTGATCAGTTCTCATGGTAGCCTTTTGTATGGCACTGATCTATTCATTCGGTAGGCCTTGTAAACCCAACATGTGTGGGCCTGATTGGTTCTGGAGTTGTTGTTCATGTGCCTTCCTTTTTCAATGAGCTCGACGCCTTGGAACAGCAAGGTTGGGTTTAACATGGTCGAATGTGCTTTAGCGATGACATGGTTACGCAGGCCTGAACTGCTCGGATAGAATATTTCTTTCAGATAGAGCTCATCTCGTGTTTGACTTCCACCAAATTGTAGACGGCCTGAAGGAAGTGGAGCTCGGTGGATCCAGGTATGAACCTTCACGCGATTCTTACAATTCTTATTATTAACAACCTACAGCATCGGAACCACGAAGAAAGGAATAGGCCCGGCTTACTCCGGGAAAGCCTCTCGTTCAGGCCTCCGAGTGCATCACCTTTTTGATCATGATACCTTTGCGCAAAAGTTTCGCAAGATTGTGGAGGGTCGTTTCAAGCGCTATGGTCATTTCGAATATGATACAGAGGGCGAGATTGCGCGCTATAAGGTCGTATCTCTCATGCTTTCCCTGTTAAATATCGTCGCTGAACATGACGCAGGTTCTTGCACAGCGACTAAAGCCTTTCGTTGTCGATAGCGTACAGTATATTCATGGCGCGCTGGCAGCGCGCAAGAAGGTCCTTGTTGAAGGTGCAAATGCGCTCATGCTTGACCTGGATTTTGGGACGTATCCCTACGTCACCTCATCGTCTACCACAATTGGCGGTGTGTGCACTGGTCTTGGCATACCTCCTAAAGCGATTGGGCACACCATTGGAGTTATCAAGGCGTATACCACTCGGGTTGGAGGAGGACCGTTTCCAACTGAGCAGCTTGACGTTGGTCTTCTTGTAAACAATACATATTTATGTATTCACGTATTTTCAGCACATTGGCGTCCACTTTCAAGAAGTTGGAAAGGAGTATGGCACTACCACAGGCCGAAGGAGACGTTGCGGGTGGCTGGATCTCGTCGTCATGAAACACTCATGCCTCATAAACGGATATGATTCGCTCAACCTAACGAAATTGGATGTCTTGGATGAATTAGAGGACATCAAAATCGGGGTCAAGTACATGATCGACGACAAAGAACTCCAATATTTCCCAGGTGAGTTAACCATCCGACAAAGCGAAACATTATTCACAGTCCATCAGCCGATCTTGATGTTCTGGCCAAAGTCACAGTGGTCTATGTGACACTTCCTGGATGGAAGAAGCAAATAAGGTCGATAACATCGTTTGACGACCTCCCAGATAACTGCAAGAGTTACGTAGGATTCATTGAGAATTTCTTGGGTACGCCTATAGAGTGGATAGGTGTTGGACCAGGACGTGAAAGTATGCTGAAGAAGACCGGCAGGATATTAATGTCGAATTAGCATGCAATACAAGTTCAAACTCCTACCGGACAAAGTATTAGACTATTTTAGCAACTTATTCTCACGCTCACCAGTGGTTCTGCGTAACCGTGTTTGGTCTCTCCTTCGTCACTCTCTGTCACGACGACGGTCACCCTCGCTGAAGACGCCGTAACAAGCGTCACAACCAAGGCTCAGTCACATCCGGACAATGCATGCTATGGACCCAGGGGCTCATCATAATCCATCACAGAGCACCCTCACACCAGTTTCGTCTTCCCATAGACGTTCGCGAGAAAATGAGACACCTCAACAAAGGCAAAAACGAGAGAAGGCTGCGGAGCGGCAGCGCAGGAAACGCGAGCGTGATCGTACTGTCAATAACATCAATGCAATAATGGCATTCACGCAACCCACGGATGCTCAGGCTCTTCCCCAGCCTCAGCCATCTCAACCACCTACTCCGACTTTTACCGGTCAAGAAATGACGCCCGAGGAGCTTACTAGGCGTGAAAGAGTCAGGGCAGCCGCCCGGGAACGGCAGCGTAAACACCGGAGTCTCGTTAAGCAGCGGAAGATGCGGGAATTGGGACTGGATATGCCCAATGATATGATGCAGGGGATGGAAGAGTACAGGGTAAATGGAGACGGCCAGTATCAACAGGTGCTTCCCCATGAGATGCCGCACCCGCCGCATGCAATGAACCCACAAGACGCATCCTTCCCTCAAGCACCACCTCCACAACTTACCGGCGGTCAAAATTTTGCTTCGACGCTACTCCTATCCTTCTCCTGCGCACCCCTTCTTAAACAACATCTGCTAAGGACATTGGCGATCACGAGTGAAGAACTCGCTTCCTTGGAACCAGTCATAGCAGAAGCCTTTGATCAATGGGATCATCAAGTATGAGCCACTGTATCTCATATTTACCGAAATGACTCACTTAATATTAGCGTCGCATGCACTATGCCCAACAAGCTGCAGCCAAAGCTGCAGACGGCTCTATTTCTGGACCATCGGGTGCTCCATTCCCAAATGTTGATATGGCAGACCCTGGTAGCAATGGGTTCGGGGAACCTCCTCAGCCCCACCCCAGCGAGTTTCGTGCTCGATTCCACCGCCCTTTAGTGGCACCCTCTCCTTTCCGTAATTTTAATCCTGATACCTCTACAACTGCCACGACTTCTACGCCAACTTCAACCACGACGTCTGGGCCTCCGTCAGACCCAATAGATCCGCATCTCAGCGTCGTAGTGACACCTGGTGACACCAGACAAAAGAGTGTGACAGCTTTGGATCCGGATTTCGGACAAGCTAAAGGAGAGGCGGAAGGGGTAGCGGGAAGGTTGGAGAGATCGTGACTTCTGTTAGGTCGTGATCACATGCACATCACGTATCACATGTAGCATTTCCCATCCCTCATATACTTATACTAGCATCGCACCATAACTGTAGGTTAGCGTACTGGCTTCCCTGAGGCTGTAGTATCCTGTCTCGGTGCCTGATAGTGTTATGTGTGTCTCCATAATTCAGAGAGCACACTTATTTAAAAAACTGAGCGGTTTGTCCTCGGGTCCCCCCCAGCATCACGAAAGGACGTGGTTTTGGTTTCAAACTGTAGAAAAACCACCTGTAAATATAAAAGTAGAATAGATGAGTGTACATTAGTACACGTGTAAGTTACGATGAACGACAGGTTACGGGTTCGAATCGTGGTATGAAGCAAGAAGGGGGTGATATGAAAGCTATACGATTCATGCCATGGCCTTCAATGTGATGGGAGACGCTCTCAGGCCACAGACTTATCTATAGTAGAACATCATGATTTGTTGAAACACATGATTGATGTCTTTAAGCATCGGCCGCTCTGCACTCCCGAAGCCGACATGTGGACAGATGGTGTGCACCAGTACTCTGAGAGTTCATGAAACATTGGAGCATCGACATTCAGCGCTGCAGCCCTCGACATTAAATCATACAATGATCTATCTGGTCACAAAAATCAATGATGATCAATTCAATGGAGATCGACTGGAAGCTCACAGATAATTGCACCCTTAAGTTAATACTCTTTGCTCTACAGTGGCAACCTGCAGCCACTCACCAGTGATTAGTGAACTGTCATGCACCAATATTAATGCAAATGGCCTCTCCCATCAATATCCTGTAGTTAGTTAATGTGCCCCTGGCATAAGAGCTTCAACTCGCCAGGACTGCTTGTCATGTCGCCAAATAGGAAGGTTGTGTTGAACCGATTAAAGCTCCGATTTAAAAAGGCCGAATTCGAATGGCGGTGCTACGAAATACGCAGAAAGCAATTCCGCACAGTTCTAGCCTTTGACGACGATCATGGCACTGAGTTTTATAGGGTATGTGTATTTCTACTCGTTTCGCTGTTGTCACGTACTAATTAGCACTGCTCAGAAAACCGATTTCTCTCATATCTCATTCCGATGTACGGTATCGAGGAATACTGGCGGGCATTGACCCTGCTGCTTCCACGATCCAACTCTCAAATGGTGAGTTTGAATTTCAGCAATTGTTCAGTTGGTCTTATATGGTTGCTAGTGTTTTCTATGGGTACAGAGTCTAGAAGGTGAGCCATTGTCCTTGCTGTGGCACCGCCAGTTTGCCTCGCCTTCTCCTGCACGACGCGTAATCTGACATCAAACTCGCGTCAGGCCACCCTCAGAATTCATTCCTCCCGTCCAAGAACCATACCAATACATAATTTTCCGCGCGTCTGAGGTCAAAGATCTTGCAGTTGATGAACCAACTCCCCTTCGTAGTGTTCATGACGATCCTGCAGTGTTGGGGGTGAGTAACGTTCCCCACTTTGAATACCATAAGAATTTAGTGTCGTAGGCGTCTGCTCCTGGAACCCAACCCCAGTACGGTGCATACGGTCCCCAATACCAGCAGCCTGTAGCGGCCCAGCCGCCACCGCCACAAGCTCAGGCTCCCGCTTATCCTCAGCCTGTGCCAGTACAAGATGCGCCAGCTCCTCCGATGGTCCCCGTTGTACAAACGAATGACACACCAGGTCCTAGCACTGGCCCGAGCCGTGTCAGTTCGGTGCACACTGCCGCTGCTTCAATGGAAACAGTTCAACGCGCTTTGGGAGACTTACGTGGATCCGGCAATGCCGCGCCCACGCATGGAGGTCGTGGCGGCCGGCGTGGTCATCACGTCCATGGTGGAGAGACAAAAGATATTAAGGTGCCTTCAACGGATTTCGATTTCCAGAGCTCGAATGCTCGGTTCGACAAGACGGCAGTTGCACCAAAGAAGAAGGATGGCGACAATGAGAATAGTGTTCCCTCCGACCGTGACTCGCCGACGGACACCAAGGATGACAAAGACGATGTGGCTTATAACCCAACGAAATCATTTTTCGATTCTTTATCGTCTTCAACGCAGGCTGCTCCGCCACCAACACGAGGCACCGGTGGACGGCGAGGTGGTGGAGGCAGAAATCGTAGGGAGGAAGAAAGGGAGCGTAACGTCGCTACATTTGGTGAGCCTGGGGGTGTAGGACTGATGGGCCCAGGCGCATACGTTGGAGGTTGGGGTGGATATGGACGACGAGGAGGACGTCCAAGGGGACGTGGTGCGCCTCCCGTCGGGGGCCGTTAGGTACCCATAATTCTTACTTGCACCAGTTGTTCGTTCATCTTTGCTGTTTCAGGCTAGTAATCATTTATCACCCAGTAGTACGGAGTCCATGCTTCATTCGTGTCGGCGGCTATGTTCCCTCTAAAGAGATTGCATGTGCTTTTCGCTGACACGTCATGCAACATATATTTCGTTGCAGAATGGGGGCTTCCAATATTTTCTTGTCCCAATCTCAACTTGCTGTCAAACAAATATTACGGTGTTAACGATGCGGGACCTTGCACGCGACAGATTGTCAGGAACCGTAGTAAAATGAGTGAACCTCTAACTAGCCCAGGCCTTAGAGTCGACTACAGCTGCGTTGCTAATGTTCAATCACACTACTATTACAATGGTGCTGAGCAGCATACGTTCATGAAGAGTATTTCACATGCTCCCCACTATTGCCTCCGAAGTGTAAATTTATCTCTAATGAACTGGCGTCGTAAGCCATCCACAAGGAAGATAACCTTCCTCATGACTGAGCACATACAGGTGCAGGACTCACGACGCGACTTGACCCTCCCACTGTTTATACCCGAAGTTAAGAGAATGGGTGGCCAGAGTCGAGATTACCTCGGCGATCCGACATCGCCTTCCTCATACCCTGGTTTGAGTGCGCGGCGGTCAATGTTCTTACGCGTTGGTGCTGCCTTCTTCGCAGGATTCTTCGTATGTCTGGCTGTGGTTGCGCAATATGCCTCATCAAACCAATCATGCTTGCCATTTTCATTCTTCACTGCTTTACTGCCTACGCATGCAGGAACACCCGAATGGCATCAATACCCTCCGGCTGAGCCAACCAACGCGTTTCCCTCCATGTTTCCATCTAGGTACGTTCCTCTCCAGTTGCCGTTTTTTTTCAAGACTGGAGCTGTTGTTATGTAGTGTTGGCTATCCGGGTCCAACACAAGCAGGTGCCGAGCCCGGCGTAGCTGCTACAGCTCCTTCCTATCCTTTGCATTCTGGTTTAGTGCACCTTGTATCCCCTACACGTTTTTCTCAGGACAACGCAAAGGCCGGAACGAAGGACTTCGATATTTTCCGTAGCTGGGGAAGCTTATCTCCGTGGTACTCCATCCAACGTGGAAAATTTGGTATTGATTCTGGTCCAGGAAGCCCCCGATACCTGCAACATCACTGGCGTGCATCTTCTACATCGTCATGGTGCACGATACCCCTGCTGACTACTGTGAGATGACCATATCTAGATTCTTAAATAGTTTCTGAGAGAGTTTGCGCGATAGCTAGAGGTACTGGACCGGGTGGGTTCGCCTTGAAGTTAAACATGAATGCAGAAAAGTGTCACAGCTACTGGGCCTCTTTCATTTTTGGACGACTGGTGAGGTCGCCTAGAGAATATGAACGAGGTAGCCTATGTCTGACCCTCACTTCCGCAGGACGTACAAGTTAGGAAACGAAGGTAACAGTCATACGTATTAGAATGCAGCTCCAACGCTTAACTATTGTCAGGATTGACACCTTTTGGGAGGTCTCAGTTGTGTAAGGGAACCATCACCTCTTACAGCAACAAATTGTGATATTCATATAGACGACCTCGGGCGTGTCAATGCGCATGAGATACGGGTTCCTTCTGAAGGTTTATTTCTAGGTCTCCCTGCTTTATTCTTCGATTTGACCATACCATTTCAGAATTTCAGCGAAACAAATACCTTGCCTGTATTCAGAACGGAGTCCCAGTAAGTACCTTCAAGAGTCGATAATTCGCATTCTGAAGATGACATGTGAAGAACCCGGATGTTAAACTCTGCGCAAAACTTTGCTCTCGGATTTTTTGGTTACCCTCTCGAGGGCCAGTATCAACAACAGATCATGATCGAAGCCGAAGGTGTAAGTCATCTGAACTACTCTAAGATACCCGACTGATAATACTTGCGTGTTAGTTCAACAATACTCTTGCCCCTTATCGATCTTGCGCCAATAATGACGTTCCCAGTGGGGGCTACCGCGGCCAACCATATGCTGATGCATGGAAAGCAGTGTACCTCAAGGATACCGTTCCTCGTTTGCAGCAATACCTTGATGGTTTTGAATTGGATGTTGAAGATGTTTACGCCATGCAAGAATTGTGCGCCTTCGAGTCGGTTGCTCTTGGTTATTCCAAGTTCTGCGAACTCTTCACGGAGAAGGAGTGGGAAGGCTTCGATTATTCGTGAGAAACTTCTTCTATGCAGTTTGCACATTGCTGATCTCAATCAGATACGATCTCAACTTATGGTGCGTTCTCTCCTTCGCTTGCCACCGAAAGTTAAAATTCTAACAGAAAAATATAGGTACGGTGTAGCTTGGGGCTCACCTGTTGGTAGGGGAGAAGGAATTGGCTATGTGCAAGAGCTCGTGTCTCGTCTCACTCAGACGCCGATTGAAACGCACAATAGTTCTACTAATGCGACCCTTCATAACGCTGTCACTTTCCCCTTTGGACACAGTCCTTTATGTTGATGCGACGCATGAGGTTGTAGTATTAAATGGTCAGCTTGTTGATGGACTTGAACTTGAAAAATGACCTGATCTTCTCTCACTGATAGTCCTTACCGCATTGAACATTTCGAGCTTCGCGGCGATGGGACCATTGCCTACTGATCGTATTCCAGAACGGCGTACGTTTAGGACAGCAGAGCTTGCTCCATTCGCAACCAATGTACAGTTCCAGCGTAAGTAATCCCGTGATCCTTCCAAATTACACCTGATTTTTTTCATCCTCAGTCCTATCGTGCTCCACGGAACACGATCCACAAATTCGTGTGATCGTCAATGATGGTGTTACGCCCCTGGCGAATCTGAAAGGGTGTCGAGATCATCCAGATGGTATGTGCTCGATCCATGCATTCATCGACGCGCAGAAAGAGAACATTCGGAGTACGGACTGGGACTTCGTTTGTAACGCCGATTGGACGATCCCCGATGGATGGGAAACTACCACGGGCTACCCTCCTCTTTAGATTCGCTGCCAAGCGCGCATGCATTCTAATACCATAAAGCACTAATGTGTTGTCGATAATAATTTGGCAAAGAGCCATGCCCGCGAATATTATCATGAATTACCCGGATGTCGGCAGTCACTTCACCAATCCATAACCTGGCCTTCTGTTTCTCTAAACGATCTTCTCCTGTTGGGTCGGTGGCTTAACAGTCAGTAAGTACTTAGTCCCTGATCACTATGCACCGCAGTATGGATGCGAGCGATGAGCAGAACTTCTGCAGCGCAGCCACGCTCGGTGTTTCAGACATGTAGAGCCTGCTAGTCAACCTGCAGAAGAAGATGATTACTATGGTTGTTGGGGCGACTTTTATCTCGCGTTAAGGTGCATCCTGCGCCGCCTACTTCGGGTCAAATATATGATTCGGGCTGCTGTCTCGTGAGATTTAATCTGCATAGGGAACTTTTCCTCTTCTGTTTTGTGTCTGGATCTGCCTGCTAGTATGCTTTTGTATTACGCTTCGGATGTGTGTTTTACTAAATGTCTGCGTCTAAACTATGTATACTACCTACGTTAGTTATCGTAATCTCTATCCCATCGCGTATGTGTCTGACTCACTCCTCGGAGAATAAACCTGATGTGGCTGTGCTGACGCCGCATATCTAGATTTTGGTTACTTCCCCCACCTAGTAATGCAAGTCCTTTCCTCGTGAAAATGATGTCCATCACTCGACACGCAAGGAATCTCTCGATTTTGGACAGAAGCTTTGGGGGAGCTATATCAAGGGGTTATGCGACAGTAACCGAGTTGCCGCGTCCCCCTCCTCCTACCGAAGAACCTCATGTCGAGACGTTCTCTGCACCCTCGAAACCAAGGCTATATTATACAAGACCTCCTCTTAAGGCTGACCTTCCTCACGTTCAGGTTCGTGCTTTGTATTGATTCCATCTACGTGCACGCATTCCACTTATCCAACAATACAGAAACGTTGGCCGTTCATTCTTGCATTCGCCACGCTCGGGGTTTCCGCTTGGACTGCATTTTTACTCTTCGCAACGAACCAAGAGAAGCTATCGAGCTCTGTTGTAAAGCGAATAATGCAGACGGTTAGGGATAATGAAGAACTGAAGGAGACGCTGGGAGATGCGATCCGACCTGAACCTGTTTGGTACTTGAATGGTGACCCCTGGATAAATGGCTCGGTGAGTACAACTAGTTTCGCAGCATTCACTTCATCTCAATCTCTTTGCCTAGATCAATCTTCCACAAGGCAATGTGGATCTAAGTTTCCGTCTAAAGGGCCATCTTGGCTCCGGCACTCTTTATTTTACGAGTATTCGGAAAGCCAAAGGACAGCCGTTCACTCCGCGTGAGTTCCTATGTAATCATACTTCAGATCTCCGACGCTTACTATGGCTCTAATCAGTGAGGTTCCGCGTCATCGGGGATGATAAGAAAGTTGTGAATTTATCCTCTCAGACTTCAACTTCGGCCATGAGTGTCGAGCGTTCGTAACCCTTGTCGTTCCCCGGCGTGGATTATTTGAACCACATCCTCAAGAAAAGCTTGGCTGCGTTTCTTGCAGCGTACGCCGGTGGTATATAATCACTGTCCTTCATTGCAGAACATATAAGTAATAGCCTTGTTGGGGGTCCCGTAAGACGCCCTTAATACAACTTCAATAACACTGTTGTGTCATTCAAATGCGTTGGCTGGCCCGTGCATCTCGAATCTTTACCTGAACTGGAGGTGTCAAATATTCGTCTCACCTGAGGGATGCTCTTGTAAGGTCAGTGAAGCATTATGGTTTTCCATTTTTACTGTCGGTCCAATGGATCATCTGCTGTTCATAGTGGTTACGATAATAGACTGCACTTTGAGTTTATTATCTTACGCACCGTCCCTCCGAATCTCGTCAGTCTCTTGAACATCTTGAAAATGCTTCCACTTCCTCGCCTCAAACTTGTTATCATGGCAGTCTTTCACGGAAGTGCTAGCAGCGGTTTTCTTCTACAGTAAATGATGTAATGGAACGATTATAGTACCCTTGGATTGACATGAGCACCACTCTCTGGCGTAGCCACCGCGTCCGTGATCGGCTTCGGTCCCACACAAGGGCAGAGAATTATTGTGCTACCAGTGTACGGGGATCGAGATGAAATTCTTGGTGCCAGCATTTGAGAACGTTGGATATATATGAGACCGCGATATACAGGTTCCATAGATCTTGCGATGTATGGAAGTTACTATCGCTGTTACATAGCATAATTCCATATTCCAGCGTATACTAGCTTCAATGACTATCCTTGACGGGCTCAGTCTCACGTAAAAGCTTGCGCTTGGACATTATATAAGTGAGCATACTCTCCCTGATGGCTCAACAGTTCCTGATGCGTTCCCGTCTCAACGACAGTCCCTCCCTTCATACACCTGGATTCGTCGTTCACATCAGAATAAAAGGCAATGAACAAAAAGGGATACACACAAGATGAGATCGGCAAACTTAGTGAGATGCCCAAAACGATGCGTGACAAATATCATCGTTCTTCCTTTGCGTGCTTCCCTGAGCTGCTTAAATAGTTCGAATTCACCTCCTGGGTCAAGGGCAGAACTTGGCTCGTCGACTATAACAAACTTGATGTCCTCAGACAGCATACGCATAAACGTCCGGGAGCTGCGCGAGTTACTTAAACGTCAATGAGGCAGGATGGGTAGACTCACGCAACAAGTCTTTGCTTCTCTCCGCCTAAGCGTCATTAGCACACATATCATCCTGGCGAATGAGACGCACCGGACACATTTGTTGTTTTCTCCATCTTCTCGTACTCCTTTTCCAGGGCCTCATTCCCCCCTCCCTGTATAGCTAAGATACGCAGTCTTGACAGGTTCAAGGACAGTGTCATATCCGCTGGTGAAGTTCTCGATGACGTCCTGAGCACCAGCCAACTTCGCTGCTTGTGTGATCTTGTCAAGATCTGTTGCAGATGATGGTGACCCAATCCCGATGTTCTCGCTCAAAGAAAGTGGGAATATGGTGTGCTCCTGTGTTAGACTGGCTGTCACAGACCGCAAGTCTGCAATTTGATAATCTTCGATGGGATTTCCGTCAACTAAGACAGTGCCCGATGTAGGGTCGTAGCAGCGAGTCAGGAGCTTGAGTATGGTTGACTTTCCTGAGCCGTTTGCGCCGACGATAACCACCAATTGACCTGCTTTTATCGAAAAAGAGACATTCTTCAATGCATCTCTTTCAGACTTGGCGCCGGGATAGTTAAACGATACGTTTCTGTCGGTGAAAAGATGAAGAGTAGCAGCCACACAAAAATTGAGATTCATACCGAACTTCTAATGAGACACCCAAAGCACCGGCTGCTGGTGAATACGGCATACAGCCGTCCTTCATCTTGTTCTTAAGATCGAGAAGTCTGTAAAAATTCTTCACGCTGGCCAATTCACTCGGCCAGAGGGTGATGATGTGCCTAGCGAAAGCAAACGTGTATCGAAGACGTGTGGCAGTTTGTTCTAGCATAGCGAGCTGAACAACAGATACCTGACTTGGGTTCATAAGAGCCAACAGCCCGATATAGAGCTAACAATACATCAGGAATGCAGGCGTATAAAATTGCATGAACTCACAACGGGCCCGTCATTGCAGAGGTTCAAAACCATATTAGGCAGAGCAGTTGTTGACCGACTCCACAATGTCTCAACGTCCCCGTTAGGTATGTGACTAAGTGCATCATGCACCTTCTGGTACTCTACAAGAGTGATGTCAGTGCTTGTGAAACTCGAAAAAAACTCAACACTCAACCTTTTAAAAGATAACCTAATAAATTGCCTCCCATCACCTCAGCTTTGTATCCGTGGTCCGTAAGCAAGGTCAAGGCCTCCTTCCGCAAGTAGTCGCCATTGACTGCCTGTTTCACGTAAGCTACGAAATGTCAGGTTAATCCAAACAAATAAACAGGAGTACAAACCTTTGCTCCAGAGGTCACTGTCCCACATATTCTCCAACATCAGGGGCAAAAAACACAATACGATCGAGACAGGTCCGGCACTTGCAAATTCGGAGCCTAGGAGATGCAGCAATAATTGCAATTGGAGTAGAAACGAAATAATCTCCTTTCCAAGATCGAGTAATCGTACAAGGCAGCGAAATACCTGCTCAGGGTCGGCTGTAAGACGTGCCTCGTTATCTTTTACATACCTTACTTGAGCTCATCATTCTACAAGCCATATGACTGCCACTAACCTTGGGAGGTTTCAAGATCACGCGCAAGATTTGCTAATAAGGCATTTCAGTAATGTTGAGATGAAGATCAAGGTGCTGATACCTCGAAGTAACCGCTCTTGAAGTCGGTAATTGACGAGCATGCAGTATTGGTCCTTTACATTATTCCTTTTGTTACCTACGATCAACGTAACTCGACCAAATTCAACGGAGCCTTACGAAGTCCACTGCACAAATCCGCTGAACAAGGAGCACGAAGCTCGAGCGATGATAGCTATACACAGATCTCTGTCTAGACTCGTGTGAACCTTGCCTTGCAAAAGAGAGCGTTGAATCTTCGGTAACAGTTAATATATGAGGCTCAGTCAAGAAGAGTTTACCCACGAGAAGTAAAAGGCGGTTTGAGAAGTAGAGCGACAGTGGGTCCTCAATTGCATACCAGAGGTGTGTGACCACCATGAGCCAGAACAACATGGGGCTGATAGAGTGAATATCCTTGTATCCGCGAGTCAAGAGGGGTATATGTGTTGATATAATACCCCACTGAAGATTGGGGAGCCTGAATGATGATGATCCATCAGCAGCGATCAGTACGCGCCACACCCCGAGCCTTCGTTCAAGGAACGGCGTTCGCTTTTTCTGTGTGTCAGTTGGGGGCATAACACGTCGAGCCCAAGGAAAATTGAGCATGATTCGAGTGAAACCACTGGCAGGACGAGATGCTGTGGGATTGAGATAGCGGGCATGACTTTTATACCAGGCGGACGGGCCATGGTGGAGTCAATGAATAACAGGCGTCTAGTGGCGGAGCCTGACATAGTCACATACAGGTCCAAGAGCGCTCAGGCTCTGTAAGATGGGTAATCAAATTTCTCATGAACGCAGTCGGAAGTGTGTAGCCCCGAGCCAGGCGAGCCTACTAGTCACCGATTGAGAGACGTACATTAATGACACGGGGCGAATAGTACAAGGCAGACTCTTGTCTTATGTAATACAGGCTTTGTTGTCGGAGCGCTCCAAGAGCGCTCACTATGATACGCGCATGACATTTACCGACATTCTGGGCCAACGTGGACACGGCCATCCAGCTGTCCTGAAAGCCAAGAGTGCTCGGCTAGTCTGGGTACGTACTAGTACCAAAGTAGGCTTCCCTAAGCCACCCCAGCGGCTGACTCGATCGTGTTTTGAAATCTGCGATCCCTTACTCGCAGAACAGCCTGTTCTCAATCGATAATCAAAACACGCCATCAACATCTCACATTCACCCCAGGACATGTCGAACATATATTTCACCCCAGGATCTCTCTACATCGCAGGATTCGCACAAGCACGCGCTCCACACGTCGGACTCATCATCCTCACCAGCCTTCGCTTCAGGTCGCTTCGTTCACATCAAGCATCGTATCGCCCGTCTGGACGTACCAATGCAGAGTTCAGCGTGTCGAGGGTGACATGTTCATCTCATCGCTGCTCCGCATCAGAGACATTAGCATATCCCATCACTCCAGCGCGGCTGCAGGAAGCGGCGCAGGCCGCCCTGGCGCCTCAGAATGATGAGTCTGGGAGTGTCTCCCGCGGGTGCTGGCAGTCGTGCAGAAGTTGTATGATATGGAACCTGTGCTGCAAGACGAATTAGTGCGTTTTGTAGGGCATATGCCAGGAGGGACAAATTTCCCAACGTCGCAGTGTCTCAGTTTTGTCAATGGATGATTGCTGGCCGAGTGATAGTATTACGTCTGCCCGACGTCTCCTAGTATTGAAGAGACTTCAGGCATACTAGCCTGCATCTAAACATGCGCAAAAAGCCGCGACATAGGATAACCCGGCGATGTGGCTGGATAACGCCGCATACACGTGCATCAGAAAACCAAGCAATCAGTACACACGCACCCTCTTAAGCGATTGACTTGAGGCAGGCATGATTCGGGAACCAAGATTCGAATATACTAGTGGTACTAGGACTGATCAGTGACATGTACACTAACGATTAGAGCGGCAATTCGAAGGCGCAATCGTATATAGACCTGCAAGAGATTTAAATGGTGATGTACTGTGATGAAATGGAGGGGATGCAGATTGGAAAAAAAAAGTACAGGATGATGGATCAAGGGGCCGGATCATGAAAGATAAAATCCAGTCTTCTGTCTAACACAGGTTTTCATAATCTTGATAACCGTAGTGCCGATACCCACGCCTGGAGCCATGGTAATCTACAGCAAGTGATGGTCAGTGAGAACTAATCAGATGAGGTAGGCGCCCATGATATAAGGGATAAGAGAGGTCGCATCGGGGATCGGAAGGATGGTGGAAATGGACGCACAGGAGCTGGTATCGCGCTCTTGACTCAAACCCGCAACACTACCAAGGTTAATATATCCCTCTGGCATTGATGTCTTTCCCTTCCCGGAGGCCTGCCCACCTGTGCTAACGTTGATCCATGAAGAACGGCAGAAGACACAAGTAATGTTGTGTCCACAGGATTTAGCCCCTATGTCAATGCATCAGTCCCATGCTTCAATCGTAGCAAGTAAACGACACGTACATTGTGTGAAGCACTCCTTATGCACAGCATTCCCACAAGTCTCGCACCAGATGAGGGTATTCCCGTCTGCACCGTGCATGCTCTCGTAGCAGATGGGGCAGTCGTCCTCTGGGTCAGGCGCGCGATGCTTTTTCACAGGCTCGGACTCTTCCGATGGGGTAGTAGCCTTGCCAGTTGCGCGTGCATATGCGTCGCGAACACGTTGGTTGATGACAGAGTTGGGTGCCGGAGGCGCGTGCGCAAATATTTCTTGAAGTTCGGAGGTGATAAGTGCTCTGTAGGGTGATCATTGAGCGGTGAAAGCTGTATCGACGTGAGGTACTGACTTCTGGTACCACAAGCTGGAGCTTTGGCTGACTTGGAGAACTGTAAAACAATTTCAGCGCTTACGGGGGCAGTAGCGGAAATAGAACTGCGCACCTTTCAAAAAGATGAACAACTTAACGTAAGATGGTTAAAAATGATGTGATGTGAAGCAAGAGCGGCCTTACTATGTGCTTGCAGTGATTGCCCTTACTGGCATCTGGGCCTGTCAAACGCCGGAGTTAGGGGTTAATTGAAAGCGAAAGAAAACGCGACATGCAGTTGCAGGATGGCATTTTGTCGATGATGACAGTATACACCTATGTTGATGTGAGCGTATTGAACGACCGAATAGAGGAGCACGCACATTCCCTGTAGAGCCTAACACGCTGAACTCCTCACGTAGTTCGTCGCCGGTACGCTTCCTGTCGACCATGAAAAATCTTGGTCGTGATCGATGACATGTTCTACCAAATACAAGAGGAACATGTTACCTTTGGGACATGACCCTGTCTACGCGATCGAGAATATTCTGCGGACATTTTTTCTTGAACATTGCACCGCGTTTCTCTGGCGCAGGTTCATTAGGGTCTTTCTTCTTCTTCCTTTGTTTCTTGACGGGAGGTGGTAGGGCCTCTTGAGATGGAGGCTGAGGCTGCGCGTGAGGATGGGTGGGTTGGGAGTACGGATAGCTGTAGTTGTATGAAGAATATGGAACTGATGACATCGTCATCACAGAAGTTGCAGGAGGGGTGTATGCATAGCTATAAGGAGCCTTGCTATCAAAAGTAGAACTATACGAAGTTAAATTGGGATCGGGGCCCTTGGCGGTGGTGTTGACCCTGAAAGTTGTGGAAGATGACGCGGGAATGCATGCCGGCGCTGTCCTCTTGTACATTGGGTCAGGCCCACTAAGATCAGCATAATCCCAGTCCTCAGATTGGCGTTGGCGTTTCTTCGCGTTTGACGACATGTTAAACGTAGAAACAGGAGCGAAGGAGAGCCCGATTTTGTAGACGAGCAGGACGAGCGCAGTCTCAAAAAACTTGGGTAGCTGATACTTGTTGAGGTGAAACTATAAAAGCGGGATCACCTCGTCGGGGTATGAACCAAGCATGCACAAATAAAGGCGGCTTCATCCAATTCATCGGTAAGTACCCAGTCTACCGCAGAATCCAGGTGCTGACTTGGGGGTTGATCGGCACTAACTATAAGTACTACTCGGGTGGTCGCTGCTGCCGCCTTCTATATCTCCATGTTCAAGCTGGCGTGCATCCTTTTCGCTGGAACTTTGACTGCAACGCATTTAAATTCTGGTATGTCACAGTACGTTAATCTGGGGGAGCTCGTTGACGTACTACTCGTAGTATGCCTTCAGTCACGACCTTTTCTCCCAAGCTTATTTTCAACGCCCGAGGCTTCTCTGATGAAGAAGTGAGTATTCCCACTGGTGGAGAAGATGCCGCTGTCACCGCAAACGGCATGTTTCTGGATGCATTATCGTTGGTCTCCAACTTCCAGAATCTAGAACTATATCATTTACCAGCAGTGGAAGAACATTTATCCGATAGATCAACCAATCACGCTGATGAGTCAACTTCAAATCTTCAAATTCGTCACTGAGCGCTTCTGCAACCGTAAGAAACCAACGGGATGGATGCTTTCGCCCGAATACTACGGGTGCTGTTACTCCACCGCATCAGGCCTTCCACGAGGTTTGAAATCGGGTCCACCACGATATGGGCGCTCGCACAGGCACGTTCCTGATATGAATAACTCTGCATAGGCATGTGATAGCTGTCTTGTCTATCCAAAGTGCCATCCGCCACTACCGTCCTTGGAAACCTAAGCTCTCCGAAACAGATTAATCGAAGAAAGACAGTGCTCCTTCGTATTAAGACTAGGGACTTATTGAGACTCACTCTCAGTGTGCTTTCGAGCTTTGTCTATGGACGAAGACAATCCTCGGCAAAAGCGCTCGGGGTAGTTGAAGTCAAATCGCTCAGATTCACAGGAAAGCGCCAGCAGAACGGCTATTAAAAACGAGGTGCGGCGCATCAGCTTAAACTACTGGTTGTTTATCATGATTTTGTTCCAACCGTCATCTGTCACCTTCGAAGGCGCAGACTGGATCTCGCAGAGGATCCTGTTCCTTGGAAAATTCATTCTTGGCCAACTCTGCTTTCCCTGATTAGGAGAAAAGAGTGGAACGGTTCATTCCGGCTGAACTATCGGTTCTGGGGGACACATGTGGGCGCTACGTCCTTCGGACCATCCCTCGCCAAGCAAATTGAAGCTTTCGTCGACGGAGAGTGCCTCTTGTTATGGCTGGAAGCACTAGCTTTCAATGAAAGCCCTGTGTGTTCAGTCGGAAGCCTCTTGTCTGTCGCAAATTGGGTCGCGGTGCGTATTTTGAACTCATTCTTCGGCTGACAGTTCTGACGGGTAGTGGAATGGTCATAGGGTGATGCCGAGTTTACACATGTTGGTGACGCTGATTTCGCACAGTACTCCACATTTATACTTGTCCGCTTTCCAACTGATTCAAGTATATCTAAAGAGTTCACCGAAAAAAATCCTTGCACTCCCTATATTGCTACTGGCCATGTCCTAAAGTGGCCTCAGACAGAAAGGATACTCCGCGAGCAATCCTCGGTTCACTCGGTTGCAATGCCGCCAGTGTTGAATGCCAAACAACTCGTTCATACACCTGCAAATCTCGATAGTATTCCTGAAGTCTTTGATATCTTGATAATTGTCATAGGGCAGGCGCAACCGACACTCACTATCAGATAATCTTCTGCTGCAGTCATTCGATGTTGGTGCACGACAGGAGCATCACTGGTCCGCTCATGCTTCACTGCATCGCTGATGAATGTAAACCCGCACGGAATAATATTTTCGTATGTCAATCTTGCCAAAAGAAATCCCTGGGGCTAACATTTCCTCGATCATTAGACGTAGCCCCATCTGAGAGCAGACTCAGTAGTACGTTGCAGACCGCGAGGACACGCTCCATCATACGTCCTTCTTCGCTCCACCCACTGAGCAGCAGAAGGTAATCCCAGATGTATCGCATGTCAGATCATTATATAAGGCCCCGTCCGGCTGCATGCGACACTCACGTTGTATGGCTCCAATGCAGGGCGGGTGGCTTATACCAGCATGGATGCGTTGACTGATAACGCGATGGTGCAGTACATTCTGGATCTTGGTTTCTGTTTATCTTATAGAGATGCGGCGAGGGTTTTTTTTCTGTTGGGAGCATGTCATCTTAAACGTGTTTCTCGGATCACCTACCTCAAGGTGCCAAGTACTTGTCATTCATGCAGGTGGGTTGGGTTGCTGCGCATCCATCGGCATCGACTGCCATGATGTGTAGCTATGGCTGTCGATGCTATCCCATCCTAGCGTGAGGCTGAAATCAGTCGGCGCTGTCCTATCCACCGCTTTTGGCCCGTCACGCAGGTTCCTTTCATCTCAAATTGGGCAACATGTCAATCACATATTTTGAATACCAGGGTGATGTCGCAAGCCTAAGTACTGCTCATGCCCTAGCTTGTCACTTTGGAGTATACAGGAATTATGCCTCTGACTATCCACAAAGTAATTGTCTTGTGGGCTCCGCGGCTGTACGTCATGTATCTTCCATCTCGAGAGAACAACATACATCCATTGTGTCATGTGTCATTCTCCCGAGAAGGTCGTGATCCTGTTGATGGCCGAGTACTGAGTACCGAGTGACTTATGAGACTGTCTCCCATAGCTATACAATACCTCCTACTAGTAAGCCGCACGTCAGTATTACTTCGGAGTTCAAACGTTCAACTTGAAGTACTTTGCTGTCGAAATAATACACGCGAAGATAATTATCGTCACATCCTCGACAGCTACGTCTTTCTACCATGTCGATTCATGTCTTTTCTCTTGTTGCAAAGTCCAGCAAATTCAATGACACGTATCTACGCATCTCTCAACACTTTCAGCAAACTCGTTCTGCGTACATCATCATCAAAGATCGCACCATCGATTTCATCAAGTCCTACGATCCTTGGAATTACAGGTCTCTCGAAATCCTCATTGCTATCATCCTAGTAATACTTTTCGCCATCCGTTTCTGGACCACGTCTTCTTCCCGCCCACCCACGAAGGACTCCCAAGACGCCCGTACGGCCCTCCAAGCGCTCCAAACCGTCCTTGTCCCAAGTTGCTCTCTCTGGCCCGCGCGGTACATCAAGCTCGTCAAACATGCCTCCAATCATCGTACAGGATCCAGGATTGTTGTCCCTTTAAGCATGCTCCTGCAGGACGTATGCGATGGCATCATCGAGCTTCGCGATCCTCTAAACGACCTCGAGGACCTGATAGATCAGGGTATCCGTGCGTATGGCTGCTCTGTCAGTCTGAAAGTTGAGTGGAAGTGGTGGGTAGAATGGTTGGATCGAATGGTGCGTGTTCGTGTTCTGTGTTCGTTACTGACACGCGCGCTGAACGACCTCTGATGTGCTCATAAGTTACGCGTAAACGTCTCAGGTGAGTATATGCGCTCTTGCCCTTACAGAAACCTTTTACTCCTACGCATTTATGCTCGTCCTTGAAGATATTGAAGATATGAAAAGCCACGACGGTGTTTATTCTTCGAATTTCGCAGTCACTAGCGCACAATATATCGACGGACTGATTCACCCACTCACAACAGCACCTCCGCCCTCCGCCGACCATGGGATCGTCATCAACCTCAACAGCTATCCGCTCATGCACCTGGCTGCTATCCAGCTTCCCAAAGATTCCCGTACCACTTTGGAACTCACCTCCCTCTCCAACCACATCTCCTTCCTCAGTACGAAGCACATCCTCTGCCTCATCCCCTTCCTGACCCACCGTCTCCCCAACTGCCTTTCCGATGTTCTCGCAACAGTAAACGACACTCCACACTTCAAACTATCGACCCTCACCAATACAACAGCCGCATACGCTGATACGCTCGCCGCACTATCAAGCAAGCTTACATACAATCCTATAGCAAGACAACAGTGCGTCGACGAACTGGGTATCAAAGAATGGCGTAAACGGAGACTCATGCTTGAGTTCGAGGCTGCTCTCGTGCGGAAAGGTTGGCTGGAGCATTGGGACGTAGTCTTGGAAGTCTGTTGATTGTATGCGTTTGTCGTGATTTTTCTTCCTTTCAGTCACTCTTGCACAAAAACGCATCTCTGTTTCTCGTCGCTTCAAGTTGCACGCACTCATTACAGCACAAATCTTGTTGCTTACTTAGAAATCGCAAAGTTACTATGACTCGCAAATGTTGTTATATTCAACGCAATAGATCAACGTTGAAACTGCATCCCGAACATGCAGGATCATCTTGCATAAGCCCCGTTATGCTGGGCCAGTGGGGTGTTGACAAACGTCGGTCGTTCTTACTGAACATCGTGCCAATCTCGCATAGGTTGCTTATTCGGGTATGAGCTAGTGAGTGATATAATAGGATACAGCTGAGCCAACAGAACGTTGGAACTTGGCGGGGGTAAACGTCGACCAAAACATCAATATTGGCCACCAGCAGATAAAGAGGAAAAATGTCAGCGGCACGTTCAGTAAGAAATGACTAACTCCTGATAATTTGGCGAAGACTTGATGAAATCAACAACTTTTGCGGATTGAGGAGCTGGGAGCATGAGCTCGTGGTGGGGATAGCCGTTCCTGCTAGCGAAATACGCTGAGCCGGAAGATCATCGATACTCGTTAGTGGAGTCGAGGACCGTTGAAAGGGTGTCATGATCCATAACTCGAGCGCAGACTCATGAACGCCATAGGAATAAACACGGACGTTGACGCCTGAATCAAGGGACGAAATAGTAGTAAGTGGTCCCAGTGACGGTCAAGTACAACATCTTCAACTTGAACGCGCTGTAACCATAATCTGAGATGGTGAACGTGCAGGCAAAGTACGTACCAATTTCTGGGTGCGAGCTGAGATATTGCGATTGAAGGTTCCAGAGATGAAACACTGTATATAAGCACCCTTGGGGCGTTACAGAAGGAATGTCGTGGAGATTTCGTGGAGATCATTGGGTGGTTGACATCCCTGCGAATTCAAGTAGACGTTATACAGATTTTCCGCAGATTTCGAGCGTAGTGCGCACATAAACGCATAAATATGTTGCAAATCTAGACTCAAGTACCAGACAATTTGAATACTCCAGCTCACCTCGACGCCTCTGATCATGAAGCCCGCCATCTTCTCATATATTTCCACGCTACTAGTAAACCAATGAGCCAAATTCTCATCCCCGAGTACATCATTGATGATATTAATTGCGGGAAGTTCCCGGACACCCACGTCGATTCAAAATCTTCATACTCTCATAAAAACATGACATCCAACGTCTTCCGCACCCCAAACATTACCCTCACTCAGCGTATAAACGTCCTACACCACAGGTGCAAAGGTTAAAACCAGGAGCAGTGTCTATCATCCCATCCAAAACCCTAACAGCATCCGGAATTTTAAATTCTTGAACTGCAATGGAGCTGGGACGCTATATGAATCGATTTAATCAGAACCCGTTCAAACAAGCGAGAAAGCATAATAGGACAAAGGAAGGAGCAAAGGAAGAGAACGAAAAAATCACTCCCACCCAGTGAGCCTCACCATGGTCGGGGTGCGTACGTTGGCATATCAATACCTGAGCAGTAGCACGCGACTTCGTTCACGGGCTAGCTGCGAAAAATGTGAGCACAAAGTATATGTGAAGTTGTGGGGTGCGTGCTATTGTACACCTGAATACCCTGCTAAACACTATGTCCTCTACGAGTATGATGCATATACGATGGCAGTACTTATCGTCCTCTGCAAGTGCAATATTGATCTCATCAGTACCTCTCTGCATGCAGAGAGAATTCGCTTACTTACCTGACAGCGTCCCACGCGGCTTGATAAAGATTCATCTTGCACGTCTCAAGGCTGCTGAAGATGCTGCAACCCTCATGTCGCAATACTATCCCTGGTGTTCTGATATATACTCGTATTGTGTAGAGGGGCCGAGAAGATGTGATGGGGGAGGAGCGAATGTGATTAATGGGTCAACGGGAGTGGTGCTCGCTGTCGTCAGCCAGGTCGGACAGATTCCAACATAACTGGTTTCAAGTGAGTGATATCGTCTTGGAGGGGGAAGGAGATTTACCAATGCGCTAGCATGGAGCGTAGACGACGGTCGAGGGTCGAGGAGAAACAAGGTCCGTGTATAGCTAGTCGGTATATAAGTGCTGGCATAGTTGATCGATCATTGGTCATGGTAGGGCCCGACAGAGGTGTAGAGAGGAGTTAGGACCGACTGGAAGCTCAGGCCTCAAGCCTCAGGAACCATACTTTTGACCATCCACGAAGTCACATTGTCTATCCAACTACTTAAACAACTCCCATCTCGAGAGAACAACATACAGCTACTGTGTGTCATTCACTCTCGAGAAAGCTCATCGAACTTGTGATCCTGTCGGTGAACTGGATGGCTGAGTGGCTTATGAGACTCCGTGTCCCGCAGCTGTACAATGCCTCCTACTACTAGCAAGCCGCACCCCAGTAGATGATCAATGATGTATTTGAAATGCGTGCGAATCAAATCTGAGTACGGTATTCAAGTTCCTCGGAAGACCACATGTACAACAGACACTGGCAGCACAAGATGTCTGCACAATGGTGCTGCTGCAAGTCTTTGATATTGACAACCAGCTCGCCGGTCCTGACGTTATTCTGTCCCCCAACAGTAAATATGCAAGAGCAAGCACCACGACGCCGTCACTCGCTTTGATTCGATTTCTTCGCTGTCTGCTTTTCGAATCAGGATTGTTCCACCCGTTTGTAAGATGCATCCATTGAGAGGCCATGACAGGTACTGCACTCCAGGCTATGATCCATCCAAATATTGCCTTCGATTATCTCTCCCGCCATGTCCCACCGCTGAACACTTCCACACCCACTCACGCATGCAACCGTCTTTCCATCCAGTGAAAGCGCCGGTACACATATGCCCCTTCCCTCGCCTTTCCACGGTTGCCCAACAATAAGTCCCGTATCACAGTTCCACTTGTGCATCGTGCCGTCATCTGCACCAGTCACAATGTGGGTGTTGTCAGGCATGAAGATGAAAATCTCAAAATTTCTTTCACGGCCTTCAAATTCGTGCTTTGAAGTTGGATTGCGCTAGGGGTTTAATCCTTGGAATCGTGAGGGTTCTAGAATCAAACAACATAGCTTCCCGAGCACTAGTGGTTGTTGCCGCAATGTATTCTATTTCAGAAGAAATAGTTTCCTCGACGATCAGTGTTGTGGAAGGCTTCTGCGTTTTTCTGGCCGACTCAGTTCGTGGTAAAGTATCACGGATAACAATTGACCAGTATTCACCTGTTGTTCTTTTGATCTCTAGCTCGTAGCAAGCCAACAAGAAGGGTGAGTTGTATTTGTGTTGAGACAGCGCTAAGCATCTGTCTACAGATTCATATACTCATACAGAAAGTTCGTCTTCCATCTTCGTTAGCTTGATGCTTCCGAGCCATAACTTATGCCTACCGTTGTTCCTTTTTAGAATGGCTCTTATACTGCGGTGGTATCATCAATATTCCGAGTTCGGTAAGTTACCTCGCCTGATTTTTATGCCTGATTTTACAACATGGGAATATTACAGGCTTATTGCATGGCCATATATCAGCGCCACGATGTTTCCACCCAGCGCCCAGTGCTTGCCATTTTGATGTTCGTAGTAATGTCATGCTATCATCGTCCAAATTACACATGCGGGCTTCTCTGGTCGAGTTCCTACGTCTACCCTCCACCGGGAAAGCACAGCTTCAAAGGGCTTGTGAACTTCAGCCCGTTGGAGTAAGTTATTCCCTGATAATATTTGATATACAGCGGACACGTGTTGCAGGAGCGTTTTTCGCAACTCGTGGTGTTCTGTGTCAAGATAGAAGACGAATACATGTTATGCACAACAACCCCTGCGTTTCAAGAGTTGCGTGTGTTTAAAACAACAGCCACTCCTGAAATTTCTGATTGAACGCCTGTATAATTTGCAAAAGTTCCATTGCCAGGCCAATGCTAGGCTGCACAATTATAAACACTGTGATCAAATTCGGTAGGCATTTCGGTTGGCTATTTTTCCTCCCTAAAATTGACAAACCTGATAGACATTCCTCTTGGGCCCACTGTGCACTGGAATCTTCGCATTCCCTAGGTATGGTACATTGATTGTGCCTACTAATGCACCTCTAGCTAAGCACGAATGTCTTCCAGTATTCAACAGGTGCATCCAGAATTTGGTAAGATGACGACGAATGAGATTCAACAACATGCGACACTATTTGTCCAACCTACTAACAGTACCTCCAAACGCGACCTCGACAATTCAGTACATGGCTAAGCATCAGGAAGACCCTCCCGTTTTAACTTGGACAAATTTAGCAAAAATAGTGTTAGTTTGACCTAAGCTCGCTAGGACTAGCAAAATTTTGCGGAAATTAGACCTAGGCTCTCTAGTTTATCAAAAATTGTACATAGCTAGTGCAAAGTCACAAAAGTGTGTCTATCCAAGTATGAATTACAGCTAAATCCAAATCGATAGGCCAAATTCCATTTTACAAACTCATCGCCTTTATTTAGTTTTGGAGCGAAACAAACAACCACCTCCCCGCCTTCCCTGACTGTTATGCCACACACTTCTAAATTTGAGCATTATGTTGGCGGGCTACAAAGACTACTCTATACACCGCAAACGCGATGTGTTCGAATGCAATGTGATATCAAGTGGGAAAGGTACAGTATGAGTATTACTAGTAACAGAAAACAAGAAGTTTATAGTGTCTTCGGCACGATACGAGATTATCAATCTACGAAAACGAACGCGGTAAGGTCGTTGAGTGACTGGGTGTAAACCCGCAGGGCTGAAATTTCTAGTCTGAAACATGGATCCGAACATAGGTATCAATGGTGAGCTGTGAGGGCGGGCTGAGTCCGATCAGTTCACAAATAGTACATCAGTGATAACTAGGGAGCGGCTACCATGCGTCGGACAAATGGTGATATCGTTGTACTGTCGAGCTGATAGTTAATTGTTGGCCTAACGGTCATTTGTCCGGCTCTGATTGGGGTGTGGTGGGCGGGAGTAAAAACGAAGAGCTAGACGCTCATACTGAAACTAATAGACGACCATGTCATTTGACGTCTTGTCGTTATCCGGTTGCAGGCTGATTCATCCACGAAAACGAGCTGATCAGGGCAAAAATCTTCTGCGACATTGATTAGATAAATGTTACGAATCTCATTGCGTTCGGCGGCTAGCCTCGCGAGCTAGTCCAAGGAAAATTTTAGAGCCTTTCAAAAGCATGGGGTGGTCTTAGGTCCTCGTACCTTCAAGTTTTTACGCGTGAAACCACGACTTCGCAAAGTCTTCTCGATGGTCTGTAGTGAAACATTGGTGCCCCTCGCGTCCCGTAGCGCAGACTGTAGCTCCTCGTGTGGAAAAATGTCCGGGGTGCGCTCGACACAAGCTTCAAGGTACTGGTGACCATGGTCTAAGAAATAATTGAGTTTTGCACGCCACATGATACTAGTACTACTTACTGTAGCATCAGGAGATGTGAGCAGACGAGGACGATCAGCTTGCAAGGGCTTTTGAATGACAGACCCTGTGAGCCATGAGATCTTGAGAGGCGAAGCGCACGATTGACATTTTTGACGGTACGATGAGCGGAGTGAGTGATATGGGCAATAATTATCTGTCGACGATTCCCTACCATGATGGATATGACGTTTGGATCCCGAAGCTGTGCTGCGCCTTTGTTGACTAATTACTCCAAAGATAAACAACGTCGGTGAGTTGTGTAAAATCGATTTTGGCCTATCGATTTTGAGTGTGTATAGCAGCGGTCCGCGTCACTGGTGTGTTCGAAAGAGATATCGAGGTAGTACTTAGCATACATATATTATAATTTATGAATCCGAGGAGAATCGCGATGAGAGTCCGTTCTGGTTGCAGAAATGTTGGGGTGTTCAGAATGGATGGCGATTTTCACGCGATTTTCGAATTTTGAATCGTCTCGTAATCACACGGAGAATCGCTTCATAATTGACTACCACTATACAGCGGACACGTATTGCAGGAGCGTTTTTCGCAACTCGTGGTGTTCTGTATCAAGATAGAAGACGAATACATGTTATGCACAACAAAGTTGGGAACAACAGCCACTCCTTTCTGATAAAGCATCCAGAATTGGTAAGATGACGACGAATAAGATTCATGAAACATGTGACACTATTTGTCCACACTATGTACAACGTTCGACCTCGACAATCCAGTACCGCATGCCATGGGGGCCTCCAGTGCACATATATCAATGGTGTGGATTCCTCTGCTGGTATTATACTGCAATCTGCTCTGAATCATTCGCCTATGGTGTTCGCCCAACATCATGTCCGCTCAAGCGCTCAAGGGCCGGCCACTCTTCGCAAGATAGCTTGCATGATGTTCCAACTTGAGTGGGAACAAATATGCGGTCCCTTGCTCACCTCCTTCCATTGATCCGATGTGGCGCTTATGATTGCATCACGTCTATACCGATGCCTCCATTTTCAAATTACCTGCCCCTTGCGGAATCACAACAACACCTGATCGCGCTCCAGAAGGTCACAAATCTGTCACCTGATCTCAGCGCCACCATGATTCACCAACTGTTAGTTGGATGCTGTTCATGTGCCTATCGGACACTTAATGGCTTTAACACGCTGTAGCAATGTGGTCCAACAAATCAAATCCCGACAATAACATACTTAAACTTGGCCCATCAGTTTAACAGGCGTCCATTCAACACAGTAACAGGTGACATGACGCAGAAGGCGGCAGTTATTTGCACTCTTGGAAATTGCTGCAAGCTAATTTCCTGCTTACAGAGTTCATTCAATTGTGCCATTAGTTACTAGGCAACTACTATTGCAGCGCATCTGCGTCACGAAAGATCTGTCGAAGCATCTGTCTGCTTTTGGTTACGAAACAAATTCATCTCCATACCAGTCTCGAACTGGGTGACTGTCAAATTCATCGCTGCTGCGCCTGTTGCTGCCTGGGGCCAAGAGTAGTAGTCGTAGGTATTTTGTTAACTTCGTTGAGGATTGATATGAATGTTCTAGTACTAGCATAGGTTGGCTAGCGATCGAACCCTATTGCATTATACAAAGTGCCCCATTGTGTTCTACATGCCCAAAAGAGGTCTGACGGCGGTAGGGTAGCCGACATGGCACCCTACCCTGGCCGTCTGGAATAATTATCAGGCGATCCGCGGCCAGGTCGACATCCCACAGAAAAATATGCAGAAGAAATAAAAGCGCATTCCGGCACTTTTGAATGCTACCCGGCTTCGAAGAACTCGTATTGCTGATGAACAATATCATATTCTGAAGCCGCGGGCCTTCGACACATGTGATACCAGGAGCACTACTTAAGCTGAGCGCTATATGTCGCTCATCTTCATCCTCTTGTTGACTCGGGCGTTGGACCATGTTTCAACTCTATGTATTCCTGTTTTTTCTGGCAAGCCTCCAGAGTCACGCCGTGACTATTGGCCCAGTTTCTGACCTCGTCGTTGCCAATTGTGATGTATCTCCAGACGGGTTCACCAGGTCGTCAGTGTTTTCTGCATGTTCGACCTGTTTGATTACTGAAGTCATTGCAGGGCAGTTCTTGCCGGCGGCACTAATCCTGGGCCCACTATAGTCGCTCAGAAGGTAGCATCTGCTTTGCATGCACAACTCTTCGTTGACCTCATGTGTATTAAGGGGGATACATTCAAGATTAACGTCACGAATCAATTGAGTAACGAGTCGATGCTAACGAGTACCAGTATCGTAAGCACCGGACCACCGACTGATAAATGCATGTAGGAGCTTATGATGCATTGTCTATTGCAAATAGCACTGGCATGGACTCGCCCAACAGCATAGTAACCAAATGGATGGCACGGCATTTGTTACGCAATGTCCGATCGCTCCGGGTCACTCTTTTTTATACGAGTTCAATGCTGGCAATCAAGTAGGAACCTACTGGTACCACTCTCATTATGGAGTCCGTGCTTCGATTTATTTCACGGTGCCGGTAACTAAATTAAGTCCAGGACCAATACTGTGACGGTCTACGTGGTCCGTTGATCATCTACGATCCCCACGACCCATACCGTTCATTGTACGATATTGATGACGGTGAGTTAGTCCGACCAAACGGAGTTGCGCTTCTCACATCTGATTAAAGAGTCTACCATTATCACATTGACGGACTGGTAAGAAAAAAAAAGGCTGATTGATCTTTTCCTGTCGTTAAAACAGTTCGCTTTGCAGGTATAACGTACCATCGCCTCAAGTACATGAACCAGCGCTTCCCGACTCAGTGCTTATTAACAATGTCGGGCGTTATGATGGAGGGCCGGATGTACCTTTCGCCGTCATCGATGTTCAGCCACGAAAGCGATATCGTTTCCGCTTACTGAGCATGGCGTGCAAGCCCAACTACATTTTCTCGATTGATGGTCATAATCTTACCATAATCGAAGTTGATGGCCACTACGTCAAGCCGCTCATAGTAGACTCTATTCAGATCTACACTGGACAACGATACTCCTTCATTCTTGAGACAGACCAGACTGTCGACAACTATTGGGTGCATGCCAATCCCGATCTGGGCACAAATGCCACAGCCATCTTACGATATGCAGGCTCTCCCAATGCAGACCCCAAGAACAGGACAACCTTAAACTCGGTAGCTCTGAATGAGACTAACCTACACCCCCTATCTCCAGTTTCGTCACGTTTACTGGGGGAACCAGACGTCAAACTTGACCTTGTGCTTGGGTCTAATAAGACCACTTTCACCTTCTCCATCAATGGTGTCCAATACACTCCTCCCAGTGTTCCTGTTCTACTGCAGATACTGAGCGGCGCTATGACGGCAGCGGATCTTGCACCTAACGGCACCGTATATGTTCTGCCACGGAATAAGGTTATTGAAATTACATTCAATACCAATATCTCATCAGGGGACCCTGTGAGTCCATTTCAAAACATCATGTATGTCCTTGATTGACAGACAAATTCTGACAGCATCCATTCCACCTGCATGGGGTACGTATTGACATGCCATCTACATGCACGCGATGGACTAATAATATGAATATGTGGTTTGTAGCACAGCTTCATTGTCGTCAGAAGCGCTGGAAGTAGCGGTTATAACTATGTAGACCCTGTCACGCGTGATACCGTGTCCGCAGGCAACCTCGGTAATTATGCGACTATCCGCTTCATCACCGACAATCCTGGGCCTTGGTTTTTGCATTGGTAAGTGTTGTGTCTATGTCTTTTAGCTGACAATGACTTTCGGTTTTTGTGAAGTCACATCAATTGGCATATATCCGAGTGAGTTGCTCGATTCACTGAGCCTGGACTCGAATTAATGAGTCCATAGGGGATTAGCTATAGTATTTGCGGAGGCTCCTGAAGACGTGGCGGCTTCGCAGCCTGTCAATGGTAAACACCGAGCACTATGAACTAGACCGTGTCTGACGATCAGCGTTAGATGCCTGGAAGCAGCTCTGTCCAATATTCAATAGCCTTCCTCAGCAAAGTTTCACCTCGCGTTGATTGATATTTTTTATATTGGTTTATGCCTCCTTTTGTTATAGGGAACATTCAGATGCAATTTGTAGATTTATGATAAAGTAGGGTGCTTTGGATGTCGTTACCTACATGGATACGTAGAAGTCCGAGATTGATTCAAAAGAACAATCCGGCCGTATTCCTCATTTGCTCACAGGGGCTAATGGCTCTGGGCACAAGATCTCGTGCCCGCGAATAAATATATCTCTGAACCTTTCAAAGGGTGGGTCATAGGCTCGAACGGCAGATTGTTTTGCCTACACCATGCCAGGAAGGTATACCGTGCACGGATCATTTACTCCCACTCGACAGGCTTAAAAGGGAGCTTCCTACATAGAACTAGAAGTACAAGCAGTCGGGGCAGCGGTAGCCCCCTGACGAGAGCTTTCGCAGGCTCGAAACTGCTGCCCTACTAGTACTGCTTTACTAGCTTCTCGATGTCCTACCTACCAGCACTTTATCTTAGGAGACAGTGGTCTGCAGCGCTGGGTGCTGGAAGTAGTCTGCCTAGTGCACTAATCCAAAGTCATAGTTCTTTGCTCTCGCTGGCTGCTCAGTATTGACGGCCTGACCACCCTGACGTGTCGTACGAACCCGTTATGACCGGACGTGTCACTACCGCGCAAATTCTTCCTGGCAGCGCGGATAATACCGGTTAGCGCTGTCTTACTCCATACTTCGTCTGAATGCTCATCTTAAACTAGGCGGCCAGGCATTTATCATGAAACTACGCCCTACAGCTGTTGTGTGAGCAGAGTGGGAGCTTTTTTCGTAGGGCCTGAGCTTCATGTATGTATGTATGTATAACAACTGACAATAAATACTGAGTATAGCATAATGACCATTGTCAAGCCCGTTCACAAAATCACGAACGATGCGACTGCAGCAAAGCTTCAGGTGACACATGGATACAGTTGTAAAAATTGACCCGACTTTTCGATAATGCAGCTTCAGGGGCTTCCAACTACGTAGTTACATGTAATTAAAGTGCTTCGTTGAATCACATATTATGCCATACCATTTTTGTATACCGGCGCGGTACAGCGAATACTACTCATACATCCACCGCTGAAACAAAGAGATCTGCATCATCCTGTTCTTTCTTCTCCGACGATCGAATCCTCGTCTCTGTGTTCACCTCTGATGGCCAGGTGTAAAGTTGGATATGGGTCCAGTGAACCAATGCACGCCTCCGTACACCGGACAATAATACCAGGAAATTGCCAGAAACATGACCCCTCCAAGTACCACAACTGTATAGTTCATTTGCTGTGTCGTCGTTTGCGGGCTCGCGGGAAAGAAGAAAACAATGATCATGAAGACCATCCACATCACAGCGATCGCGGCGACTGGAAAGCTCTGGACAGACATATTAGCTTAAAAATACGTTGCTGCCGATTAACCTACTAGTTTCCCCAGATGAAACGGGCCGGGTTGAAATTATTATTGAACGCAAAGCGGGTTGTGATTGGCGTTATATAGGCGACGTACGATGCGGTGACAGCAATTGTGAATACCGCATTGATGGCTTCGGTGCTCACGAACGACAACAGTCCAATTGCCAGACCACAGGTGGCGTCTAACCAAACTGTATTGACGGGTGTTTTTGTGTAGCGATTGATCCGGTACAAATACCGTGCAAAAGGGAGGGCTCCATCACGAGCAAATGCAAATGTTTGGCGAGAGCCGACCAGGAGGCAGTTCGATGCCACCATGTACCTGCTCTATCATTAGGCTGTAAGCATGCCACACGGCACTAAAACGTACTCCGTTGAAATAATGAGACACCATAGAGCCAGGGCCTTTCTCTGTCCGAGCGAATTGTATAAAATCTGCGCCATAGGCTGGCCTACGGGGCTACTTAAGACGCCGCCGACATCAGTGCCCATGCAAAAGGCAAGGGATACGTTGACTCCTGGATTAGAACGTGTCATCAAGATCAGAGTGACATGTCATTCCACATACCCAAACCAAGGAAGGCCGATATAACGATGGAACTGACCTGACTGGGATTAACACAACAATTGATTATTTTCTAGTGTCATTTACGATTGCCCATGGTATCGCAGTAGCGGCATTTGAGGCCTCCTCGCTCATATGAACGCTAGCATCAAAACCGCCTGGCCGGTTACAATAGTCATGGAGCAATTATTCGAAAAAAGATGGTCTAACCTATTGTATAAAGAGGAGCCATAAGGCTCAGAATAAATGCGAATCCAGATGGCCAGCCGCTCACTACAACTAATCGTGAGCTGCGAATGTAATTGGATGAGGACACATACAATTGGTGAACTCCGCTAGTACAAAATTTGCACTGTTTCGATAATCCGGTGGCGTTGCGATCGGAAGCGCAATGATGATTATGAAGCAGAGACTATCGGAGGATTTAAACAATGATCGTGCACGAACTCTATAACACCTACCACACATTCATCAACGTGTATAGTCTCTGGAGCCTTGCCAAAACTTTGGTACCAAAGCTCACGAGGACAGCATTTGACAAAACCAAAGCAGCGTATATACCACTATAACAACCAATATGAAGAGTGTCGTGTTCGAATGAGAACGAGCTTACTAGAGCTGCTGGTTGGTAGTCACATATGTTTGGTCAGAGGAGGCCATGCCGATTGCTGCAGTGATTTGAATTGTACAAGCCCAGTTTAGGGAAGCTAGCCCCGCGTGATCAGGGGGAGACAGTTGAAAAATGAAATCCATCTTACCGAAACCCGTAATAATCTGTATGGTATTCGAATCTGCAGATGTCAGAACTGGCTGCATGTCAGATCAAGATGCAGGACTTACAGCCAACTATCCATGACAGAAAATTGCGGCATCGTGGAGAAGCAAGCGAGTAAGTCCAATAATACAGCTAGATTTTGTTGAGTCAAGTGTGAAACAGCGACAGCGTTGATGACATACACCACCAGAAGTGGGTCCTGCTGATGCGAGTTCTGCCATCGCCAACCCGATGCAAACGATAAAGGGGCAAGCAATTGCCCACTGGACAGCGGAAAAAGTGAGATGTTTACAAAACAGCGATCCTCACGTATGATGAAAGCTTACACCCCAAACCATCGCGAAAGGCCCACCATTTGGTATGGCGTAGAAGAGCACGGAGCTGAACCGATTTTTATCATTAGTGGTATAATTTCAATCGACTTGCGCCATAGTAATGGCTTACACTATAGAAGGAACCACTCCTATACAGCTGAATGCAAGTACAGCTGCCTGTACAGTTGTTGGCTTGTGTCGTGTACATCGCAGAGTCTGAAATCAAGCTTACCTCTAGCGGAGTGAATTCCCTGTGAAACTCCTGTTTGTATCCTAGCTCGGCGAGAGTTGTCTCATCTGTGCTTGGTTATGGGTGCAACTCCGAAATTGCAGAAACTCTCATGGCCATATTGCACTGTTGCAAGTGGGAGTGAGCTTAGATAACGTCAAGAGAGATTAATAGTCAACCAGGAATCGATGATGCACATGGAGCCTATTCTGCGATCCAAACAGAAATCGAACCATCTTCGATTCTTAGACATAACCATTAATCCCAACTTACGGTCCGGGCCTCGGACACCTAGCCTATCTGAATCTGATGTACATCACACATTGGCAGTTTCGGAGTTTTGATACAGGCAAGATTTCAATCAAAATGCGGTTGATAAATAAAAGATTTTGACTTGAAATTTTGACTTGAGAAAATGAAGAAATTTGGATGAACGGTAAGATACTACGGATGGTGGGAAGTGCATGGATGAATTTGAATGTGACTCACGTGTGTGCGCTTCTTCAAAACCTCGATTACATGGACTCATACTATCATTCCGGGTAATCTGCAACTTTTCAGCAAATCTTTTGTAGCTCGTCAATCACTTCACATTATCTTCCACGAATTTAGAGTGTTGTAGATTCGTACAGCCTCTATGTAGATCTGATTTTTACTCATTTTTAGGACATTGTGGTGTGGTGTCAGATAAAAGCTGAGATAATTCAGGGTCTGATTGCTAATCTGCAAAATATGGTCACGTCGAGTCACACCTCGGCATAGCACTGGTGCAGTCAACTTTGATTCTCCGCACTGCGCTCTCGATCTGTTGGCGTTGAGTCGTCAAACTAGAAGCTCTGATACATAATGAATACAGCAATATATTATTATCAAGTATTGTGATTCATGTAATTATTGTGAGTGTACTGGTGATATGGTCCTGAATGAGGTTGACCGTGTGCAACATCATACATTTGTACCTCACCACCAACTCGAAAATCTGCTCTACTACCAGCTGCCAGCACAAAGTGGGGAATAGATGGAGGCACTGAATGGTGCATGGGATAATATGGGAGCGCATACCTGCTGGGTGGGGGAAGATCCATGTATGATATCGAGGGTTGAGGGATAGGCTGCAGTTGATAGCCACCAAGTGGTGCATGCATCGAATTTTGATGACTCGGCATGTCTTGCAGTAGTGACTCAGTAGTGTTATTGCTGGTTTCAACATGCTGCCTGCAAGGACAGAATCATTAAATAAACCCTCGTACTGCTGGTTTTTCTTGAGTTCTGGTTGGCTGTCATCTTTGCCTTCAACTTCTCACTAAGCTCTGATACCTTTGCATGAAGGTTGCACTTGAAGAGGGTGACCCGTCATGGCCAGGTACTTGGCCCAGTCACATATTATTGCTTCCTGCCCTTCAGTAAGTAGTTGGCTGTTTTTGTGGGCTTTCAAATGAGGTTTAGTGATGTTCTATGCCTGCTGACAAAGAGTATGGTATGAGACTTTAAACTCTGCAGCTGCTATTCAGAGGTTCTTGGTCTTCTTCTCTCTGATAGCCTAAATAGCAATAGTGAAGTTGGCCTCATGAATCACATCTTCTTCAGCTTTCTTCTAACTGGTATTACACCTGCAGTTTGGTGCCATTATAACATGGATGTGAGAATGATGCAAGAGGAGATGACAATGCAAGACTTCGTGCACTTGCCAAGTATGCCATAGAGGAGATTGAATTTGTTACACACTCTCCTATCTACTGTCATGTTTTCATACATATCATCAATTCTTCCTCTATAGCATCTTACAGCACTTTGCAAATATGATAACAGTTGTCTGTTTTCAGAGAAAGAGAAAGAAATAAAAATGATGGTGTTCAAATTAGATTAAATAATGCACATCATGAATTCATGGCACGTCTGTTGATATCTTGTATCTTATGCCCCTACCATACAGCAGTATATTCTTTGATACATTCTCTGATGACAGTGCCATTGAAATTATGAGCTCTTCATTGAGATCCCCTCAGCATGAACAATCTGTGTCTGTTGAATCTACTGTCCTCCCTTCATGGAGCCCATCACCTCAGGCTGAACCAGAAAAAACAAAGAAGAGAGGCTGTCCTCCCAAGGAACAGCCAGAAAAAGGATTGTCGTACTCTCGGATGACTTAGAGCAGAGCCAGCTCATAGTGACACCATAGTACTCAGCCAACACTGCACCAATCAACCTTACATTAGCTATATATCCCCAGAATGAGATGAAGAAGCCTGAATTCTCAAGTAAAGGTTATTATTGAGGCTATTCTCAAGAAGGTATGTAAGATGAGTGCATATATGCAGTGTTAGATGATGATACCTTGATCAAGAAAGGGAATGGGAAAGAAAACAATGTTGGCAGTGATGACAAAGATGATGGGATCGACGATGACAGTGCTGACAGGCCAAAGAAGAAGAAGAAAGGCAAGGTGAGCATGAAGAATAGGTATCATAGCGAGACAAGCATACTGACATGAATGTTAGAAAACCCCAGATGAACTTCCATTGAACATTGAGGTTGCTGCACACGTCAAGACACTGCGGAATCAGTGGGTCTGTAACAAGGCAGGGTGCCCATTGAGTAGCTAATGCTACATTCCTGCAGATAACAAAGAACATTTTCCACTTAGCCACAACCACTTCCAGATCTGGGCTGCTGCAATGGTCATCTAAGATTTTTCTCACTCTCATAATTAGTCACTCATAGTTTTATAGATGAAGAATCCACCGCTCATGACTGTAAACCAACCTCCAAACCATTGTGCTCTTGATGGTTTGCATGACAACCAAATGGCTTTGAAATCACCTCTCCTTCAGTGACATTTAGCTGATCGCGACAAGAACACATCCAGTACTTCAACCATCAACTTCAACATACCACCTGAGCTCCTTGGGTTCCTTTGTCCCCCAGCATCCAAGAATGCTGCCAACACCATAGCACTGCCACATGGAGACCAAGAGTTGATGCCCCTCCTACCTCCAATGATGCAGCCTGGTCTTGATCTCATGCTTATTGATTTCTACACTAAGTTTTCACTTGCAAATGCAATCCTGACCAAGTTACACAACAATGGCTACATAGGAACATGTACCATCAAGTATATTGTGGTCTCTGAGCTGAAAGAAATGGGGTTCATGAACAGCGAGATTGCAGCGATGAAGGATGCTGTTGAACAATAGTCTCGTCAAAGTTAGGTTCAAGTTTGCTGCTGTTTTCACCATGGGTGTTATGAATGTACTAGTATTGCTTTCACTGTGCTGTGGACGAACATTATTCCTGTACACTAGAAGTATTCTGCATGTATAAAGTATGAGATTGCTTCAGAGTCTGATTCAAGAAGGCAAGTTCTAATGCATGATATAAAATCTGTACTGTATGAATTATGATGATTGTCTAGTTGTGATGAAGTTGAGAAGAAGGAATCCCAAGGTACTAGACACCTATTTGTAGTGAATCCTGATTTGGGATTGATAAGTTCCCACAGTCGGGACTGTGGACATACTGTGGACAATGAACATTATAGACAATTAATATTGGCAGTGAAACGAACATCACGCACCAACTTCAATAATTATCCACAACGATTTGTGGACTGGGTATTCTTGTCATTATGTGCGTATTCCTTGTGGGGACTGTGATCAAGATTTATGTAGTAATAATCTAGAATACATTGTAGCAAGTCTAACACGATAGAAAAAGTGCCATACAGATTTGGATGGTGTAACACTCTAATACAAGTACACTTAGAATATCTGCGATGCAAATTCACCAATGAATATCGTTCACAGAATGATAGGCATCCTATCAGTTCATAAGTAACATTTTAAATTTAAAAATGCAAAGACGAACCAAAAGTGGGACATTAAAGTCTTTGTGCGCATCAAGCATTGTCCATGCACTGCTTGAATGAGCTTTGAACCAATTGTCATCATACAAATTGCAGGGGAGATGTGCAATTGCAATAGAATTTTTTGAAGTGCGTTTGGCCTCCATGAGACAAAGAAGTGATGAGTTACTGACTGGGACTGACATGTTCTCCTCGTACACTGCGGGAATGTAGGACTCAACAGTGTGAAGGAGATCAGTGATGGCTGGGCTGATCCACAGGATAGCCATGTACCTCACAATCTTTGATTTCGCACCAAGAGGGGTATCAGTTTCATCCCCAGCTCATTCCGTCAAGATCAAGCCAATCAATTATGTGCCTGATCATGTCCCAAGATTGAGGATTACGGTGGCGATTTTGTTCGACGATTTTCTTACATCTTTCAAGCATCTACAAAGACATTAGAGACAAAATGGTGGAAGGAATAAGATCCACTTACCCCATGTTTACAGGTATTACACTGATCTAGGTGTTGCCTTTGACTGTTATGAGTAGATAAGTCATGGGTAGCGACCTCCCTCTGTTGACTGTCTGTGAGTCCTTCAATCTTGATGTGCTCTTGATAAGCTTGTTGAGTACAATGGAGCTTGTTGATGCAAAGAATGTGCAAGTTATTGAGGTTCATTGTATTGTCGTCGAAAATTACCAATGGGAAACTACCTGTCTTGACTTTTTCTTGAAAGTCTACTACTAGCAAGTTGATCACCTCAGTGTTCCACACAGAGGACCTCAAGGAGTCTTGCCAATCAATAGTGATTTTGTCCAAAGTTGGCGGGTTATCTTTATCATGATTATATGCTTCGACCACATGCAACAGAGATTATTGTGGTAGAGGACCATTCTTGGAATTCAGAAGATGTTTCTCCCGAAGATATTTATGAAATTAGTCCTGTAATTAATATTGATTAGTCCCTTCTGCACAAAGAGGTAACCCAGACATACATGTAAATGGTTTTAGTACCCCACTTTCCTGGACACTTCCTGTGAGGGGAAGGGGTGAGATCGTCCTCATGTTCAGGCTTGGTATCATAGTCTTCAACAGACCCGCATTTCAAGACACGAGGGTGGTGAGAGCAGGGAGAGGAGAGACCTCTGGTCTTGCCCGCTATCCATTCAACCATTGCCAGGATCATACAAACGGCTTTGCTAAGAGCAGGACCAACTACTTTGTCGGATAATTCAGCAAATTGCTTATTTAAACAGCTGGCCCAAATAAGTTTCTGTGGTGTTTGGCAATGGCAATGGTGGAGCTGGTGGAAGGAGGATGTTGAATTGGTTGCAAGACAGGGGCAACAGGGGTAATGAGCAGAGGAACAACTGTTACTGTTACAGTCACTGTATACGCCCCTATTTCTTTCTCTTTTACTTACTTGTATTACATCACATGCCGCATAGTGCTGCCGCTAGACTCATTCATTCTATCTCTAACTCATTGTATTACACCACAATCGTTATCTCACCATCGCTAGGTGATCTATTCTTGCTATCTCTGACTCGTCTCTTATCTCTGACTCATTTGCATTCTCACACCTGCCCTGAAGTGGTTACCATTCCCTATATAAACCTGCTCTGTACACTGTAGTTCTTTACTTTAATCTTACTAGGTTTTACCTGGAACTTCCTTCGCTTAAGACCACCAATCTTAAGTTGTCTGAACTTGATTCAAGTCGAGGACACTCTCCTTGACCTGTCTTATGAAACCGACCCCTTGTATATGCAAGGGTCCTGAACCAACCTTAGCCGATGTGAAAGAGAAATAGCAACTAGGCAGTTAGAAACTAGCGCTACTTATCCAAATAGGCGCGAGTGTAGTATTTGACCCAAGAGGACTGCTATTGAAGCAACTCCCTACTAATATGCAAGGGAAGCGATAGCGCGAAGGACTAATAACCTATAGTGACCTAAGACCAAAAACCAATGAGTAGTGCTATAGCGATCAGCGACAAGTGAGTTCCGACAGAGAAACGTGTGTATAAGTGAGAAGCGCTATGCAAGTTGTTTTATGCGGTAGCGCTATGCAACGTCCGACTAGCGACAGCGAGAAGAAATCAAGGGAGCGAAAGTGAGGAGTAAGGTAAGACAGTGCAAGTGAAATGCCCGATAGTGACTAGATTATAGCTCGATTACTGATAGCGATCCCGACGCTGCGAAAGTCAGACTTAAGGGAGAACTTTAGTGACGCACACTTAAAGCAAGTCGAGCGACACGCGATCAAAGGGATTTGGCAAGAGTGGAATCGATTGCACCAAGACTAAGATATAGCGACTAAAGTGACTCCGACACCAGCAAAGGTCCGGGGAAGGGAAGTACTGTACTGTATGTGCAATGGGACATTTTATCATACTGCGTAAAAGTTCGGGAATGCGTAGGCGAGAATAGTAGCGACACTGGCAAGGGCACGATGTAGCGACAGGTAATAAAACATGCTGCACTGTGGAACACGAGGATACATGTAAATAGACCTGCGACTGATGAGTAGCGACATTCAAGGAAAAATAACGCACCAGCGGAGGTAGGTGGACATAGGCAGGACATGGGAGGATGGAATACCTAGGCATTGGACCAGGTAGCGTGCTATGGGAGAAAAGTGGTTCTAAAGCGGATAGCTTGGGAGCTGAATTACGCTGGTGACTAGCGCCTTACTCTTTTCCTCTAGACAAGGCAAAATATGCCTATGACACTCATACGCGCCTAGCGCTGGTATGATTGTCACACCAGATCAGGCGCATACTGTGGTTTTTGCTGATACATTAATTTGTCGCTATCAATGCACTAATAAACATGTGTAGTGTCACTACTAGTAGAAGAAGGCCAGGGATTATCCAGAAAGACACATCTGATAATGCTCTGGGTATTCCCTTATTCTATGAGACATTGAATGTCCTTGACATCTGATCAGCTGTTGACCTCACTTTGTGTCATCTGCACTCATTGCTGACCTAATCACATGTTGTATTGTGTTCATACCCACTGAACTGCGTGCGGAGTCCATTACCGTCCTTATAAACGGTACCACCACTCAGTCTGTCTCTCAGGTCACCTCCCACTCAGCCTCAACACTTGTCCTTATGGCTCAATACGCTGCTGACAGGTAAGCTGTTGAGTGCGAGTATACATGGCATTTTCTAATGTCCGAGCGCTCCGGCACATCAGTACCACCAACGACGATTCTGATATTCTAGATGATGGATTGCTGTCTAATGCGATAGACGAAAGCAGTCCATTTAATCTTGATGATGTCCCTTCAGCTGTGGAATCCAACAATCCTGTACCGCAGGAAGAGGTGTTTCACAGCATGTTTATTGCCTGCGAAGGCCAGGAGACAACCGGCCATACTTTGGAACAGACTCCTGTTTGTACCTTACCTCTGTCAGCCTTCGAGAAAGTCTTTCACAAGAAGGACAAGGCAACTGCAGCAAATTTATTACTGCGTCACACTAATCTCCGCGTTGATCCTCATCTCACATTTGCCCCCGATCACCCCAGTCTGTTGTGTGATGCATCAAAACATTTCCTTGACTTTGTCCTTGTCGTATCAGGTGCAATTGGCTTGCATGAATTCCTCCTGAACACTCTTTCTGACCACACCTTTTCCGTCTCTCTGGATTTCTGTCTCAATAACAAACAGTTCAAACCCAAGTTTGGCAAGCATGGTTTTGACCCTACAGGCTCGATGATGGCAATTGGGACTGGCATTTCTTGTGAGCTGTGGTTGGGATTTTGTCCCTTGACACACATCAAGGATATTTCTCTTGCAGACGAGGCTCCTTTGCTAAATGAAAAGAAACATGGTGAGACACATCTGTCATCCCTTCACTATCACATGGCTGTGATGTTTATTGCCTTGACATTGGCACAAATATCATCCCTACCTATCCATATCATGCATACATACGGAACCGACGAGGATTTTATGCAGTGGAGAGTCAAGGAGGTCACGAACCTGTAGTAAGTCTCCAGTGTGACACACCCCCTGCCATGAGTTTCAGTGGCTAATTGAAGGTTTCCCTTTCAGTGATCAGCTGATCATCAACCTCCATTTGGAGGACTTGAAGGCCCTCCACAGATACATCGTATCAGATTGGGATGAATGGGTTTCACAAAGCGCCAGCATCTTGGAAGGATGATGGTTGGCTCCAATCCTGTGCACCTTTATCCATAGCGTGCAGGTATGGGCAAAACCAAGCAATTGAGAGCTTGGATCCGGCTGCTCAAGGCGTTGAAGAGGGCAAACTGGCAAGCGGAGCGCGAATATTCCGACATTCGCTATATGTCCATGGCTATTGCCACGGATCTCACGTGTGTACTGTTCATCCTTTACTGTGACCCGCTCTCTGACTTGATAACTACCCGCCATTGTCACCAGCTGTAAACCAGTGTCTCGGTGGGTGCAAATACCTGAGGATGAGTTGTTGGGAGCCCACAACATCATATATGATTCCCCAAACTCATCCTTCTGGCAGCCAGTGAATTTGGAGGACTTCCTTGCCTGAGGTCCTGACACAAATAAAGAAAATAACATCTACGACAAAGATGATCATCGAATTCCCCGCTTTGATGGTCTCTGCAGCCATAATGTAAAATCTTGCGGTGTTCTTGTCAACCTCGAGATTATCACAGAGTTGTTTTCTGCAATGATTACCAATGATGACATGGCCCTCAATCCTGATATCATCATGGACGATGACAATCTCCATATTCCTCGCGTCAATGTCTATCCTCAAGCTTTCCTGAGGAAGTATGGTCATATCCAATGCAATGCAGTCTTACCCCATTTCGCTCCATTCATGTCAAAAATTTGTAAAGCCATTTCTCAAGACACAATTGGTCGAGATGAATTTGATGACCACACTTTGGATGACGACCTTGACTATTTGAACAATTTTCAGAAGCTCATGTCAACTGTACTCTTGGCTAGCGGTTGCCAGTTCTACAATGAGATCTCGCATTGCATCAGGCTGTCCGCCGCCTTACACAATGTTCAGAAAGGTCACATCACTTCTGCCCTCTTGGGTGCTTATGCCACTACACGCAACACTCAGACCACGCATATGATGGTTCTTAGAGAGTGTAGTCTGCTCTTGCCTCACCAATGTTACAATAACAAAATCGATGTAAATGACGTTCCCTGTGCGTTGCATCTGGAGAACATATATATCTTCCAGTTAGACTCCTTGAAGTTGGTGAAGCAGAATGGATTGTGAGTCGTTAATGTCTAGGTCTTCGATTCAACTGACATAATGCATCTTGCCCAAGATCAATATATTGAGACATGGTTGTACCCTTGGCAAGTTACTGGTCGCATCCTACCATCTTCGAGGCCATTCGCCCACACCTGTTTGTGTTGACCGCTGAAGTACGCCGCTGTTATACATCATATGAATGAAGTCTCACCATCCTTCTTTGCAGGCATTTCCCCATGTTTATCAATGGACCACCTATCCAATCACGTCCCTGCTCGAATGTATATGGGAACATTTCCTGCCTGTCCTCACCAAAGGTGGTAAACCTGCCCCTCAAGTCATTGAATTATGCTCCATCCTCGAATGCACGTTGGCATATGCTCATACTGGAAACTCAAAAGTAATGGCTACAAGTCTCATGAGGCCTTTGTGGTTGGTAAAGAGTCTCTTGGAACAAGGTCACCACTGCATGCAATGCCATGGAGGCAGAAGATGCCATCGATGGGGAACTCCATGCATCACAGCAGCACAGAGGACTTTGCAAATGGCTTGCAACTGCTCATCCTCTTGGTCATGTTGATAAGGCATATGAACATTTAGTGTCCTGCATGCTTTCCAAATCCACTGCCCACCACAAGGGATCGCCAAATCCAACCAAGGACAAACTCTCCATCCAAGACTTTGCTTGCCTCATTTGTGAGATGTCTCGAGGGACCGACCCTGTCACCATCGCCACTCCTCTCATCTTCAATGGGGGTTCAACTCCTGTCTTTCGCATCACTCTAACATATATGCGCAAATATGCCCCGCAGGATTCTACACAGTCTTCAGAGAGGTTCTTGCAGGAAGCATTCATCATCGCCGCCAATCATCTTCATATCAACAATATCCCCTGGCATGGTGCAGCAGGACTGTGTGGCAGACGGCGTCAGAAGCCTGTCTTTGATTCCTGGGTCAATCTAGAAAGGCCATTGACTCACAAGCTATTGAGCATCATCATACCCAGTTGAGCAATGCTGCGGCCAATGCATCTCAATGCGCCCAGGTCACAGATACCAGGACAGCTTGGTCTGCTGAGTTGATCACCTTGCAGTCATTGGCCGATTACATCCTTCGCTCTCGTCTCCCTGATGAATTCGCGATTGAGAGCATCGAGCTCCCAAGAGGCCCAACAGCTGGCAGCAAGCCTAGCGTGAGTATGATCTATGAGTGGGTTTTTGCAAACTTCGACATCAATAAACCTCTGCATCAGATCGCACTCATCGCCGGTATTTATGTCAGCCAGATTCTTCCTGATTTATTCTTCGCCGACAGCAATAAATCACAAGGGAATGTGACCAATCCTGTCATGCTCACAAAGGCAATACGCGCTCTCCCATGGAAGCCACACCGCCGCAGTCGCAAAGGGTGCAGACTGCCAAGCCAGTTCATCGCCATGGTGCCTGCCTATATAATCGCAGTGTACGCCCCAACAAGCTCCTTGTGCATTCATTTGAAAAGTGGTAATAGCTTCCCCACCATCTGGAATTCGAAGAACATTGCAAAAGGGATCGGGCCACTCCTTCTTGTGCGACTAGGCCTTGCAAGTGCCTTATCGCACAGAATTTGGAAAGGTGGGCTGCCTTTGGTGCATTGGACGTTGCTCTCTCCAGAGGATATAACCGTCAAACATCGGGAGATCAGTGCATGTTTGGCTGATCGCCACTATGGTCCCTTCCACATTGCAGTTATGTTGTTTGGCATTGATAAAGCTGTCAACCTTGGGCGCACATCTCAGACATACACCATCAATCCTGCTATTGCGTCCATCAGGGCCAAAAAGCACATGTTGAAGGTCGATTCTGATGACGACAAGGTTGAGATTGTGCAGGTGAAGACGGTGAAATTTGCTCATTTGCACTGGTGCTGTAATAATCATGTATGCTACACCGTGAATTCGAACAACTGTCTGAGACTCTGAGGCCTTGTAGTTGAGACTCAAGAGACAATCACATTGAACACACTCGAACATTGAATCTCACCATGCGAAGCATAGAGTTCTTTGATATTTGCGACAAAGGACCAGGAACTAAAGCCCCAAGCTTGGTCGTCTTTACTATCTCTTTGATAATCAATTCACTCTTCATATTGGCATTCACTTTGTGTTTCTGTACTTCAGTGAGTAAATGAACCTGAATAAGTAATCCAAATTATACTTTGTGACCTTTTGCAGCTGTACGTGGGTGAGCTGGCGAAGGGTAGCTTCATTGGTGTCGCTTGACGATGGAGGAAGACATTTCATCATTGGATGTATCTGATGTTGGCTGATTAACGGTCTTTTGTTTTGCGCAGTGTAGGATTTAATGCATCATGTTCCTCACTTCAAGGTACATGCAGAGGTCAATCGGTCAAGCCGAGATCCCAGATAGAGATCAATAGAGACAAACAACCAAGTATGACATACTCAATATTTTGGTCGTTGATGGTCTGGATATTGGTGCTCAATGACACTGACTTTGATGCAGCTCTGGTTAGTACTAATGATGGCGGAAATAACATTATGGCATCTGCGTTCTATCAGGTTCTTACCTTGTGTTTTGCTTGTCTTCTTGTACTCACTGCTGTAGTCTCGTCCAGAGTCAAAACCAATCTTCGATGTCCAATGCTATTCATCATGATAGTACATGGCCTCGCAAATGTGTGAACCTCAATAGCCACATGAGCCCCTTCAGTGACAAATCCCGTATTATACGGGTCACCCAACCTACATAATATCCCGTGTAATACGGGCCAGCGGATTATGGGCTGATGTTATGTATATACCCGATGTTGACGGGTGGGCCGGGAGGAATATTATTTCCGATGGAGACGGGTGGGCCCATCTATGCTGATGTTATATATATCATCGATGATAGCAGATGGGCCGGGAGAAATATTATTATGAGATGGGTGGGCCCATGTGGGTAATATGTAGAGTAGGATTGACATATATTATAGACCTGAGGAGAGATGTATAGCAAATAGTATTATATAGACGGGTGGGCCGACGTATCAGTATTATTTTGTAGATGGATGGGCCGAGGGGGAGCGGTGAAATATTTATTAGATAGACGGGTGGGCCGACGTAGGGAAATATTAGATAGACGGGTGAGCCAAGGGTGGGGTGAATTATTTATTACATAGACGGGTGGGCCGATGTGGGGTAATATTAGATAGACGGGTGGGCCGAGGGTGAGGTGAATTATTTATTACATAGACGGGTGGGCCGACGTGGGGTCATATTAGATAGACGGGTGGGCCAAAGTGCAGAATTTTACATAGACGGGTGGGCCGACATCGGGTAATATCAAGTACCAAGTACTAAAACCCAAAACCCAAAACCTGAAACCTGAAACCCGAGCCCTGAACACCCAGACTCGGGACTCAAGAGACTCAAAACTCAAAATTCAAAAATCAACTGGAAAGTCATACATTTTTACGAGTTAAGAAAATTCAAATTTAAGATGATATACATTTTTGTCATCTGGAAATACCGAGTACCGAGTACCGAGACCTGATACCCAAGACCCGAGATTCGGCACTTGGTAGTCAGTGAAATGAGTACAGAAATACATAAGATACTACACATTAGTTTCAAATTTTGACATGTGAATCACAAGTCTCGAGTCTCGAGACTCGAATCACCGAGTACTGACTACCAAGTACCAAGTACCAAGTGCTGAGTGCCGAGTGCCGAGTGCCGAGTGCCGAGTGCCGAGTGCCGAGTTCCGAGTGCCCTGAGGCTTCCGGGTATTAAAACACAGATAGCCCTCGCTCTCAGGGGGTCATCAGAATTTAGATCACCTCAAACGGATGTGATTTGGGTGAGATATGAGCAAAATACTATATACCGGGTGAATTTCAGCATTGGAAGTTTGATGCTTTCGATGTTTTTGATGTCGGGTCTTGATGCTTTCGGGCATTAACATGTAGATAGCCCTCGATCTCAGGGGTGTGGCAAAATTTAGATTGTCTGAAACAGATATAATTTGAGTGAGATATATGCAAAATACCACACACTGACTACCAAGTGCTGAGTACCAAGTGCCGAGTGCTGAGTGCCGAGTTCCGAGTTCCGAGTTCCGAGTTCCGAGTTCCGAGTGCCAAGTACCCCGATGCTTTCGGGTATTAACACCCAGATAGCCCACGCTCTCAGGTGCCTGTCAGAATTTAGATCATCTCAAACGGATGTGATTTGAGTGAGATATGAGCAAAATACTATATACCAGTTGAATTTTGGCATCAGAAGTTCGATGCTTTCGATGTTTTTGATGTCAGCTCTCGATGCTTTCGGGCATTGACATGCAGATAGCCCTAGATCTCAGGGATTCATCAGAATTTAGATAGTCTTAAATAGATATGATTTGAGTGAGATATATGCACAATCCAAGATACAGGGTGAATGAGTCACAAGTGTTGAGTGCCAAGTGCTCAGTTCTGAGTTCCGAGTGCCGAGTGCTGAGTGCTGGATGCTGAGTGCCCCGATGCGTTCGGGCATTCAATCACTGTCAGGAGGTGTTCCCTCATCCACCTCAGTGCCATCAGTGTTGCAATCAAGCTTTCTGCTGTGTGCTGAGTGCCGAGTGCCGAGTTCCGAGTTCCAAGTGCCCCAATGCTTTCGGGTATTAACACCCAGATAGCCGTCACTCTCAAGGGCCCGTCAGAATTTAGATCATCTCAAACGGATGTGATTTGAGTGAGATATGAACAGAATACTACAGTGGCTCAAAAAACTGTCCGCATGTTTTGACATTTTTCACTATCTATGATATTGTGTGAGAATGAACAAATTCCTCAAGGACATACTTATACCACATTGTAGTATGGCTTCAGGGCTTTTATTTGAGCCCTACACCGTGGGAATCGGCGGAGATATGGTGGAGATATAAGGCTTATAAAATGATGACTCATGTGGACAGTTTTTTGAGTGTATATTAAAACTATATAAATCATTATTTATGACACCATAAAAATCATGCCACTATTATATAAATTATAAAGTGGTGTCATTATGTTATTTTATGACTATATCTAACTATATAAACCAGAATATCTCATGTATCATAGTCATAATCACCATGAAAGTCATCTCCTCTGCTCAAAGAGATAATATCCTCTCTCTGTCTTATGCTGGCCTCTCTGCTCGCCAAATTTCCTCTAGAACTGGAATATGCAAGTCCACTGTGGCCAAGTTCATCAAAGAAAGCCACCCAGACAAGGAAAACTCTTGTGGAGGACGTCCATCCAAGCTTACCTCTACCAACAAAAGGGCTATTATCCAACATATCACTACAAGAAAGGCTGATAATGCTGTCCAAGCCACCCATTATATCAATTCCACCATCACTACCCCTGTCTCTTCACAAACTGTGAGGAATGTTCTCAAGGCAGCTCATCTCAAGGCAGTAACAAAGAAGAAAAAGCCTCTTCTCTCCATCAAACATAGGCAGAGAAGACTAGCCTTTGCCTTAGCTCATCAACACTGGACTGTAGAGGACTGGAAGCATGTTATATGGTCAGATGAGACCAAAATCAATAGGATTGGGTCAGATGGGAAGGTGTATGTATGGAAAAAGAAGGGAGATGGCCTAACAGACAGAGAGGTTAATGGGACTGTCAAGTTTGGAGGAGGTTCTTTAATGGTATGGGGCTGTATGGGATGGAATGGTGTGGGAATGCTTGCTGAGGTTGAGGGGAAGATGAATGCTGAGCAGTATGTGGACATTTTAAATGACCACTTGCTGCCTAGCTTGGCAGAATCAGGGATTGATGAAGAAGATATCATTTTCCAACAGGATAATGATCCCAAGCACACATCCAGAAGAGCTAGGGAATGGTTTGAAGAACATAACATCAATGTTCTTGACTGGCCAGCACAGTCTCCTGATGTCAATGTCATTGAACATCTCTGGGGAACACTCAAGAAAAAGCTTCAAGCCTATGAAAACCCCCCTAAAGGAGTATGGGAGCTTTGGGAGAGAGTAGCAGTGGAATGGGGGAAGATCACAGCTGAGGATTGCCAGAAATTAATTGAGAGTATGCCTAGAAGGATAGAGGCAGTAATTAAAGCCAAGGGAGGTCATACAAAATACTAGAATACCTGGTTATTACTGTAAAATACTTGAGTCAAAAAACTGTCCGCATGAGTCACCATTTTGTGAGCCTTGTATCTCCACCATATCTCCACCGATTCCCACGGTGTAGGGCTCCAATGAAAGCCCTGAAGCCATACTACAATGTGGTATAAGCATGTTTTTGAGGCATTTGTTTGTTCTCACACAATATTATAGATAGTGAAAAATGCCAAAACATACGGACGGTTTTTTGAGCCACTGTATATACCAGGTGAATGTTGGCATCAGAAGTTCAATGCTTTCGATGTTATTGATGTCGGGTCTCGATGCTTTCAGGCATGAACATGTAGATAGCCCTCGATCTCAGGGGTGTGGCAAAATTTAGATTGTCTGAAACAGATATAATTTGAGTGAGATATATGCAAAATACCACACACTGACTACCAAGTGCTGAGTACCAAGTGCCAAGTGCAGAGAACCGAGTTCCGAGTTCCGAGTTCCGAGTGCCGAGTGCCGAGTGCCGAGTGACCCGATGCTTTCGGGTATTAAAAGCCCTCGCTCTCAGGGGCTCGTCAGAATTTAGATCATCTCAAACGGATGTGATTTGAGTGAGATATGAACAAAATACTATATACCGGGTGAATTTTGGCATCAGAAGTTCAATGCTTTTGATGTTTTTGATGTCTGGTCTTGATGCTTTCGAGCATTAATATGTAGATAGCCCTTGATCTCAGGGGTGTGGCAGAACTCACATTGTCTCAAACAGATATAATTTGAGTGAGATATTTGCAAAATACTATGTATATACTGACTACCGGAGTGCTGAGTGCCGAGTTCTGAGTTCTGAGTTCCGAGTGCCAAGTGCCAA